TGCTAAGAGAAGAAGATACTGTAAATAAGGAATAAAAAACTAAAAACATGAGAAGGTGGCTCAGACTGAGAAATAACAAAAGGCTGTGACAAAATAGAAGGTAAAAGAAAATAATCAAATGACATTAACACCTATGTTACTAAAATTAAAGATAAAAGAAAATGATCAGATGATAGATTGAAGGATTAACACCTACTTTACAAAAATTTCAACTTATCTTTAAAGCTATCTCCATAATAATTAAGCTTCTCATCACAATTTAAAATCCATTCAAGCTTGTAAATATTGTCTTCTTATAAATTTGATCCTCAAACATTCTCTAAGAATTAGATTGCATTATCCACAACTCTTCAATTAATATCATGAACACACTCCACATTAACAAAAGATGGCAAAACACTAAGAACAAGAGAAGCTATATAATTATATCCCACAAAAGTTGGAGATGGCAATACATCAAGGATGAATGCAACACTAATATGATCACACCCTACAGCACTAAAAACTTAATTCAATGGAGTAGTATTAACAGCCTTAAGTGACATATTCTTTGATCAATAACGATATGGCATGATAAAAGAAGGGAATGTAATGAAGATCAAAAGGAAGAGTAAATTTAAACATAGCAATAGCTAAAATTCTAGATCTTATAAAAAGCTAATGCAAATCTAGATCTAAAAGAAAAAAAAGGAATAAAAATAAAAGCATAATCCCAAATACTAGAGTAAAAACTTTGCCCTTTAGGGATAAATTGTAATGCCCTTTACTTCCACTAATGTGATATGGGAATTAAATATCTTAATTAGGGTTTAGACCCCTTCTTTAGGATTAGAAGTAAAAGTCATTGATCTTATCACAAATCTTATCAAATACTTGCGTGTCCTAATAGGAAACATTCAATCAACTAATAGGGCAGGGTTAGTAGTAAAAGTCATTGATCTTATCATAAATCTTATCAAACACTTGCGTGTTCTAATAGAACACATTTGAATCAACTATTAAAGAACTGCCTAGAAAACATGACATTGCAATACATCTTTTCAATCACAATGGATAGAGTAATTATTGCACTTATGTTTCTTAACCTTTTGTACTTTGGTGTAATTTATAGTGCTGATTGTTATGGAGGCTCCATGCCAGCAGGGCTTACAGTGTCTAATTACCAACAAGCTGCCAATACTTTTGATATAGCCAACAATGGGAAAACATATATTTTTGGGTTTGATTCATCTGGAAGGAGAAGAAGTGTCACTCTAACTTTCACAGGCAATTCCAAGGCAAAATATTGTACGGTAAGGGAGGCAAGCTTCAAACTAATACTTACTAATTACTTGGTAATTTTGAATCTTAATAGACTGGATGTAATAATATCATTAGCCAATGCATGCAAGCCACATGTGGGCGAAACGCCTGTCCACAAAAGGCAGGAAGATGGGATTGGTCTTTTAATGGTGAAGAGGCTCACTTCACTATTGATGGGAGTGTTGCTTGATAAGTGGAAATTATAGAATTACAAATAAAGTTTTCTTGGTCCTTTTCTCCAAATCCTTGTGCCTTTGCTTCAAAACAAATACTGCAAAACCCCGACAGGTACTCACCAGCAAAGTGTACTGGGCCCTGGACGTCATGCATTCCCTTCCATCTTCAATATGATAGTTTTTCTCAGTAGGTGCTGTCTCTTTACTCTTGATCATTTCTGGTCTTGAACGAAGCTGGATATACGAGTTGGATATGATCAAATCATTATTGCGGAGATACGAACGTGGGAAGAACTCATGGGAGGTGTTCCAGCTTACTAACGCTTCTCCCAGTGATGACAGGTTTTGGTTCTGCATTGTGAAGGTAGTCCGCAAGGTTGTGATAGTGATCCAAGCTCCCGGCGATAGTGGCAGAGAAGGCAAGGTGGTACAAGCTCAGCGTGCCTACAGTGGCTTTTTACTGGACTGCAACTTCGAAGTTCTTGGAGCGTGATGTGTATGTAAGATGAAGAAGTAAGGATGTCTTGTTTGCAGCAAATGCCCGCTGAAAGCATTCTGTCTGTGTTCGCCAGCATGTGTCCGGAATGTGTGTGTGCATCCAGTGACATTCCTCTGCGAGGTTCCAATGCCACCGTTCTGTCACACGTACGAACGGTGCATCTTTTCCGAGTATGTTTATATTTTCAAGCCGATTGCGGTGAAAAAGATACTATAAAGGTATCTTTTAAGAATCGTTATATATCAATAGGGTTTAGGCCGTATCCATCTTTAATCTTTTCGATCGGCCGGCGGTTGTCCGGTAAGTACCCAGCGCATCCTCTGGATTCCAGGGGTGCCGTCAAGTGAGAAATACCAACTGACATCACCGATCACGCTTCTCTGTGGAAGTGGCTGCTAAGCGACCATCGGAGAGAGACTGCAATGTGAGTTTGCACGAAGATATCAAGCTGTGCTCACCAGCATTGCTGCATATTTCGGCCAGAATCGACCATCGATCCATCTCCTCTCGTACGTGTAACACGAACGGTGGTTCGGGCAACGGAGAGGCAGAAACATTTCTGCGCACACCAGTCCACTCACGATCTCCTTCTTTGTAAACGCCCGATGGAATGAGATCAAGTTTCTAGATGATAGGATGGGCTCCATCCGCGTTCTTGGGCGGCAATGCATCGCATCGGCCATCAGTTTTATAAGGGACAAAGAGCCTCGCCAGCTGAGTCTCATTCTGGGATCAGCAAAGTCTGGAAAGACTTTCAGCGTTCGCACGGCGTCACTGTTTCTCTTTCTTGCATGGGAGGCTGATGTACATTGACGGGCAGGAGTTTGTGGACGATCCGGTTTTGGCACTTCTCCATTCGCTTGCTCTGGCTTACCATGACAGTGGTGTTTAATGGTTTCAATTTTGAGAGCAATGCTCTTAGGGCAGTACGGAAGTGTACGATGACCTAGGGCTTGTGGAGTTATCCCACATGCCGGAGCTTGATTTCATGCCTATGTATGAGTATATAAAGCGATCGAAGACCCTTCATAAAACATATGGGCCGTGTGGTCAGCGCAAAGCGAACTATTCTTTCGCCTTTTACTAAAGAATACCGTGTGCCGGCCACATAACAGCGGCATATCAAAATTTTTGGAACGCCTCTTCACGGAGGCACTCCCACAAACTTAAGATTAAGAAGCATGTAGTTAATTTACCAAATCATGAGTGGATTTCTTGACATAGGTCTTCCAGAAGAGCTCTCACGATGTAGGTCAATAACTCAGGGACCTCTCCAGCTTTCTGCTTGTGAGCCCCCAAGGAGGGGTTCTTCAAACTTGGCGATGAATCCTCTCGCCTGATGCATCCCTTGAGCAGCTTCTGACCCAGTCCAGTCCAGTCCGGCCATCCTGATCATGGTGTAAACAATGCCTGCTGAAGCATCCAGCGTTTCGCCGAAGAGCGCACTCAGCAAGCCAAACTCAAGGTCCTCTCACTGCCGCATGTAGCAGCAAGGCAATCCCCTTTTCCTGCTTGGTATGCAACGTTCCGCGGGGATATGTGCCTGTGGATTACGCTTCGCTTGTGTAGCTCGGTCACCGTCTCGAGCAAACTCATTCCCATCGCCACCACCTCGTCCATTGGCAGCGTCACACCGTCGAGTGACTCGCCTGCGTCCGCCATGAGCACAACCGGACAGTTCCCCAGCTAAACGGTTACACACCAGTACCAGCCCAGAGAACCTCCGGAACAACCACCTAGAATCTGCCGAACACGATTCTCCGTCTCCGCCTGGTTGAAGAACTCCGCTGGCATGCCGACTGCTGCCGCAACACGTTTGGCTCACTGTATTGAGCCTCTCTTGAGAATCGCCTGCTGCTTGCCACCATCAAATCGGACCAAGATAGCTGCCACCTCGGAACAAGTAATCCACAAAGGTGTGCACAATCTCCAGCTCCAACAACTGGCCCGAATCACCACGACGCACAACGTACTTCGGCTCAGCTGGACGAGAGCCTCTCAACTTTGGAACTTCTGCCGCAGCCTCGAAGAAAAAACCGTTGTCACTCAGGTGAACGATGCAGAAGAGAAGGAAGACGGCAAAGCCCGGCTGTATCCATTACTACTTCTGGCGTCTCGGTTGCCGCAACCAGCCCTTGACCACACGGTGATGTTCTCGTGAGTGCGTGAGCACAATCAACGAGCAGCGCCTAGAACAACCTTCCTGTCCGCCTTAGCCGTCTTGCGACGCTTCTCTGCCTTGTCAAGCACCTGGCCTCTCGCTTCGTTGAGCTTCGATTCGTCATCTTCCATCTCCACGAACAGGTCGCACCATTCATACAGATTTCTCGGTGCAGTCACTGAAGGCTGAAACACGCCCACTCCAATGCCGGGCGAGCTCATTGTGAGCTAAATACCCTTGTTGATCGTTACTGGCAATAATTCTCGAAGTTCCTGGTGTCAACCTGTGCAGTGGCCGAGTACTATCCGCGCTGCGGCTATGGAGTCACACGATTCATCTGCTTCTCCAAGGCAATGCTTTAACTTCCAGCGACCAGGGTGCTCTTGTATATCCTCTCGAGCGTTCATGACAAGTGCCTAGCAATCGGGCCAAGCTCACCGTCCTCGAGGACAAGCGCATGCCCCCAAAGCTTGCCTTGCTCGACTGCGTGTATCGATACGCATTCTCCAAATCCGCATTCTGGCGTGGGCCTGTACACACAGAGAACCGTGATCGTGAGAGAAGGCAAAAACGAACAAAGAAGAAATTCTGGGCCTCGCAAGCGCGATGGCAAGGATCGTCCGGAAGAATCCCGCGAGCTGATTGTTGCTCGCCGCCAAATCCATGAGCTCTAGATCCTCCTCATTGCAAGCTGATAAGACAAGCTCTCGTGGCGGACAGGAGCTTCGGCAGCCAAAATCTACTAAGCTAGGCTGGAGCTTGGCGCAAGAACTCACCTCGCGACCATAGCTCGTGACCAAATATAAAACCCCAAGTTCGAAATGCCCTAAATCCCGCCCAGGTTTTAGGGTTCTTGCTAGCTATGGAGGCCTATGTGGGCAATGTGAGCAAATGTGCGGTGGCCAGCGAGCTAGTCGAGTGCCTAGAGAGCGTTTGCGGTCGCGGCACAGTAGTCTCTTGCTCGATCGATACCGCCCACGCGAACTGGATGTCCCGCGGCTACGCCTTTGTCCAGTTCGCCACCGCCGAGGCCTCGCAGCTAGCGTCCCAGCTCGCCGCCGAGAACGCACTGCTCTTCTACGGCAGAGCTCTGCGGATCCAAGCCCGCAAGGCCGTCACGCACGGACCCATCCGGGGGGACGAGCGCGTGGAAGGGATCGTTCTCACCATGGGATTCGCGAGAGGTGAGAGTGGCATCGACTGTCTCTGGTCGTGCTCCGGTGTGGCTGCCGAGTTTTGCTTTGGCAGTTGCCAGCTGAATTTGCTGCTCCAGCACGATGGTGTCGATTACAAGCTCGAGCTGCTGTTTAGAAATCTACGGTTCGTGGATGCGTTTGTCGAGACCTCGCAAGCTAGCCATCTTCTTCTCCAGGTAAGTTTCTTTCAAGCTTTCATTCAAGTAGCTCGTGGAACAAACTTGGCTTCTTCGTTACACAGCTCTTTCGACCACCGCTTGTCTTCCAAGGCCTTCCATCTCCATCCGAGCAAGGCAATCCAGTGCTGGACACCCCGCTCGCGATTCTTCGCCACTTCAAGGCCGTGAGATCCAACAGCTACAACTATAAGTACTCCAAGTTTGCGAAAGAACCAACATGGACTCGCAGCACCGATTTCACTCCCGGCAAGGCCATCTCGCAGTCTCTCGTCTACTGCCTCGAGTTCCCTTCCGACTTGTCCGACGAGCAGGCGCTCAAGATCTCCAAGAGCTTGTCCGGTTACGACACTTCTTCCATGGATCGAGCGCTCACTTTGGTGGCTGGCGAGTCGTATGCTTTGCAGCAGGAGCTTTCTCCCATTCTCAGCATCACCGAGGACGATGGTGCTCCTCTTCCTTTCGACATCGTCTACAAGATCAACTTCCTGGTCCAGTCCGGGTATATGAGCCCGGCGTCGGTCACTCGCGAGCTCTTTACACTGCTCCAAGGCTTTCCGGAGAAACTTTGCCTCTCGGCACTGGACAAGCTCGTCTCTCCCGCTGGAAACGTGAGTCTGGACGCCTTCTCGACGATCGAGAGCTATCTCAAATGCCACCATCGCCGCTCGGAGCTTGTGGAGCCGGATGGAGGATACACTTACGTCAAGAGGCTGGTCGTCACCCCGACTAAAGTCTACTGCACGGGACCCGAGCTGGAGCGATCGAACGGGGTCACCCGACGCTACAAGGACTTTGCTGCAAACTTTCTGCGCGTTTCTTTTGTGGACGAAAACTTTGAAACCCTGTACGCGGACGCCGTTCGACTGCCAACCAAAGTCTCTGTGCAAATCGGCCTTCTTCCGGAGCCTTCGAGCGTCTATCACCGAGTTCTAGCGGTGGTCCGAGATGGCGTGACGATTGGTGGCAAGAAGTTTAAGTTCTTGGGCTTCTCGGCCAGCCAGCTCCGCGAGCACTCGCTGTGGATGTTTGCCGACGCCGGCAGCGTCACTGCCGAGAGCATCCGAGCGTGGATGGGTGACTTTGGCGGCTTCACCAACATTGCAAAGTGTGCTGCTCGAATCGGCCAGAGCTTCTCGTCGTCCAGGAGCTCGCTCGAGGTGCTGGAGGATGAGCTCTCGTCCGTGGAAGACATCTACTGCGGCACACGCTACTGCTTCTCGGATGGAGTCGGGAAAATCTCCAAGGCGTTTGCGACGAGCGTGGCAAGAGCTTGCAACATGCCGGTGGTTCTTTCGGCACTCCAGATTCGCTACGCTGGCTACAAAGGGGTTGTTGCGGTTGATCCAACTTGCTCGACCAAGCTCTCCCTGAGACCGAGCATGCTAAAGTTCCCCTCAGAAAGAACAGGCCTGGACGTTCTCAAGGCGTCGCAGTACGCTCCATACTACTTGAACCGGCAGAGTATCATCCTCATGACGACTCTCGGAGTTCCGGACGAGGTGTTCGAGCGGATGCAAAAGGAGGAGCTCAAAATCCTCGATGAGATGCTGAGCGATCCACAAACAGCGATTGAAGTCTTGAGATCTTCGTCCTCGGGTGGCGAGGCTCACTCGATCATGGTGGCGATGCTCCAGGCGGGATATAAACCAGCTCACGAGCCATTCTTGCGGAGGTTGCTGGACAACTTTCGATCGCTGCAGCTCTACCTCCTCCGGACGAAGTCTCGGATCTACGTCCCGAAAGGCCGCTGCTTGCTGGGATGCCTGGACGAGACTGGAGTTCTCGACTACGGACAGGTCTTCGTGCAAGTGTCTCCAACGCCAGGAACTCGCAGAGTCGTGGACGATGGCCTGGACGATGCGAGGCCTCGCAGGGGAGTGACACGGAGCGAGAGCGCCTGCGTTGTTCTCGGGAAAGTCGTCGTCACCAAGAATCCTTGCTTACACCCGGGAGATCTCTTGGTCTTGGAAGCCGTGGACGTTCCGGGACTTCACCATATGATCGACTGCGTGGTCTTCCCACAGCGAGGAAAGAGGTACTTCTTGCAAAGTTACCATTGTTCTTCCGTCTTGGTTTGATAGTATGATCTTCCAGGCCTCATCCCAACGAGTGCTCCGGAAGTGATCTCGATGGTGATCTCTACTTCGTCACCTGGGACAAATCTCTCGTACCACCAGTGACTCACGAGCCGATGGATTACGAGCCCGGTACCGCCGCCAAGCTCGACCATTCAGTGACTCTGGAGGTAAAGCTTGAATCCTCTCAAGTTCTCAGCGCTTAGCTTTCTTTTTCTTTCCAGGAAATCCAGCGGTTCTTCGTCGACTCGATGGTTCACGATAGCCTGGGAGTGATCTCGAATGCTCACCTTGTTCACGCTGATAAGGAGCTGGAAAGAGCCAAGGATCCAAAATGCTTGGAACTCGCGAGGCTCGCATCAACCGCCGTCGACTTTGCAAAGACTGGCATCCCGGCCGTGATTCCCGTAGATCTTCGTCCCAGGGACTATCCCGACTTCATGGAGAACGAGTTTAAATCGACGTATACTTCGCAGAGTGTGCTGGGGAAGCTCTACCGGTCGCTCCAGTCCAATGGAAGAATTTTCTCGCAGAGATCATCAGCAGTGGCAGCATCGCCGAAGGAGATGGATCAAGAGTTTGATCGTAGCTTGACCGTAGATGGATACGAGCAGCACGTCTCCGAGGCACGGTCGCTCAAGGAGCTCTATGATACGAAGCTGGAGCGTTTGCTGCGGCACTATGAGATAACCGAGGCCGAGATTGTAACTGGGAATGTGCTGTGCCTCGGGAAAGCCAACGAGAAGACGAAGCGTAACGATACGAGAGATAGGATCGCTTGCGCCATGAAGTCTCTTGCCAAGGAAGCTGGGAGATGGTTTGAGGCCGGACTAAACGAGCACCAATTGGCGAAGGCGTGTGCTTGGTACCATGTCACGTATCATCCGGAGTTTCGTAAAGGGAGTAACGTCGAGTCTTTGAGCTTTCCATGGGTGGTGCCCGCGGTTGTGGAAAAGCTTGTGAGCCTCAAGAGAGCAAAGAGCTGGATTGAATAGTCATGGACCTTCCACTGTTTTATTGCTGCTATCTTCTTCTTCAAGCTCCTAGACAAACAAAGAGTGAGTATCCAAAGCCGTGAAATGGTGGAAGTTTTCTTACACGAACATTGTGAATCGAAGCACTCCTCCTGAGATTTTTAAGGACTTTCCAAATGAAATATGAAAGTACCGCGAAGGGCATGGCCGAGCAGACAAGTATGAGGGATACTGTGTATGCAAGCTCTGTAATACAACATGTGGAAGAGAGAAAAAAGAAGAACAAAAAGAGTACCTTTCCTTTTGTTTCTCTTTCGAGAAGCTCGAGGTAATGGAAAGACGACGGAAAGATTCTCGAATTTCCGCGCCCAGTTGTCGTTCAAAACATCGGTGCTGAGCAGGGCGATTTGCAGCGCAGTCTCACACACCCATGGTGTATCTTTTGTCACGTTTGAGAGGCTCCGGAGATTTGATGTGAAAAGCTCCCAGAAAGACAAGGAGCTTGTGCAGACCTTGAGGAGCCCGTCAAACGTGATGTTTGCAATCGTGAAGTTCCCTTCGAGCTCTTGCAAAGTAGCAAACTTGCAAGGAGATGCATAATCTGGCGAATATATCTCCAAAGAACTCTTACACTCGGGGGAGGTGTCCAGCTTGCTGATAGTTTCCCAGCACCTATCGAGACCCAGGAAAAGCGGTCGAGGAGAAGCTGTCGTGTTTGTATGAAAAGCAAGAACGCGAATGAGATAGTTCGCTGTGCTCCCACAGAGAAAATCGCTCCCAGGCTTTGAGAAGTAGTCGAAATTCAGAGGACAGGCTGCACAATGATCAAATGTCAAACATCAATTTCTTTAGCTCCGGGCATACCTGATCCGTGTGCCTGTCGAAGAGTGATTCCGAGAATCACCATCACAGCAAATTCAGCTATAGAAACCATTGCTGTGGGCCGTCTCAACGCTTGAAAGTGAAGTAAACACTTTACTGACGAGCATAAAAATTCTCGCATCTCGTTCTTCACGATGAAACGAGAGGAGCTCAATCAATGACCTATGACAACAAGTTAGTATATATATATTCCAAAATACCTGATCCTAAAGTGTCATAATAAAAATTTAAAAGTCCTCGAATGAGCAGATAGCTGCAGCTTTTGTTGGCTTTGATGGGGACACATTTAGCGCGAGAAAAGCAACGGATATTTACAGCTAAAATCATCATCTGTGCTCCGCATTGCACGAAGCCCAATACTAACTACGAAACAAATGACAAACGCGTGTAACAGCTGGCAGGAACGGCAAGAGAAGCAATTCTACCTTTGGCGCTTGTAAATTTTTTCTAGAAATAACGACAGAACTCCCTGCAGGGTAATTAGAGAGTATTCAGGAAGTAACAAACTCGAAAACACCACGTACTTGTAAGCGAGTACTCTTTTCCCGATCAATAGCAGACAAAATTCTCCCATAGCTTGTCTGTTGATACTCCGAGAAAGCTGCCTGCATTCACCAGCAGCTAAAGAGAAAAGTCTCAAAGCAAAACAAAATACTCACTGCAAGGCCCAAGTCGTTGTACACTTTCTTCACCTCCTCGACACAGGCATTGTCCTTCTTGCCATAGTTGTTCTCTAGTCTCGTTTTCTGGCTAGCATCTGCTCGTTCAATAGCTCGAACAATGAGCCAAGAACACTTTGCGTCCTGGATATCTGTTCCAACCTGGAATGTTCAGTGAGCTTGACATGAAAGACAAAACAGCAAGGAATCAACCTTGCCAATAACATCAGGATGTCCATAACAATCTAAGAAATCATCCTGCAGGGGCCGATTCCGTCAATAATCAAAGGTAATGAACCACAAGGACCTGAATTTGAAAATAGGTTCCCATTTGTAGTAGTATTTGTTTCGCAGATTCGAACTTGGAGTTGTCGCTCTCGCCTGACATATACAAAGCACAAGCAACCTGTATTCTCATATGGCGTCAACGACTTGGTTTATAATGTCACTCTTGCTCCCTCACCGGAAGATAGAAAGAATAAAACGCTGTCTTAAACTTCACAATCCTGAGATAGCTGCTTTGACAAACATTATGGATACTTCATAGAGTCAAATAAAACTTACGTTTCCATGACGTACTTGGACAAATCAACCTTCCCGGCTGGCGATGTGATCAGATCAAGCATCTGACCGCATGCTGTTTGATATTCCACCTAGAGTTTAAGTCACTTAGAAATGATTGCTTTTCCAGGGGCTAACGCACCTCGTCAAAAAGTTCTCGGAGATCAAAGTAGTACAGCTGACCATGGAAATACTTCCTCAAAATCCGTGGTACATGGTTTCTAAGCAGTAATGCATCGTTTGCAGCAACAAGACCCACCTAATCACAAAGGAAGACTGTGTCACAGCTCATTGATAAAATTCTCACAAAACTCACGAACATTAGGCTGTTTAAACCAGCTCGGCTTTCCTCTCCTGGTGTGTGAATCGTCCATTATATCATCCATTACTAGGAAGTAAGCTTGCAGCTATGCATGGAAAAGCAAAAAGTAGAAACCAAAAACACTTAGAAGTTCTTTACCAATCGATGCAAGAACTTACCCATTCAATACACCATCCAAGAGCAAACGCTTGCTCGATTTCATCCCGGGAGAGCTCGTCTTCGGACTTGAGCAGCACCAAACTGTCGATCACCGAGAGACCTCGATTTAATTTTCCTGTCCCAAAAGGAAGTGAGTTTGATCGAAAAAAAAAGGAATACAGGTACCTCCTGGAACATTGTAGTCCAACATCTGGAAAGACATTGCACTGAGAAAACCAAAAGAAGGAAAAGAAAAAATGAAAGCTCAACCTTGGACACCCATTCTCTGGATTCACGAGTAAACTGGAAAGCATCGCAATCCGCAAGTAGCTCTTTCTTGATCTTGTCAAACGCCGCGACGAACTTGTCCCTAAACGAACCAGCGGGAGAAATCGTCTTGCTACCTGCCAAGATCTTGGCAGCTCCTGGACGATCGAAAATGTGGAGGATTACAATCGCGATGACGATGCGCATTACCTGTGGCGGGGCGATCGGCTGCGGTCGCCATAGATCGGAGAAAAGCCCTGGACAAGAGACTCCTCACTACCATAACCTAAAATATTTATATGCGTTGCGCGGTGGCAATGCTCGAGTAAAAAAACTGAAGTCCTACAAAGAACTCTCAAGCACTAAACAGCTTATTTGCAATGCACGGAGCAACGATCGCAGCGCTCGTGTTCGTGCTGGTTTGGAAGACGACACTGGAAAACGTAATTCAGCACGGATTTCCGAGTGAGTGAAGCTCTGAGCAATCGAAGAACCTGTGAAAAATCGAGAGAAACTATAAGCGAGGAAGAGGAAAACTTCTTACGTCTGTGGTGTCGACGCTGACTTCCATGCTTTTCAAGTCGGCCATGTTTTTCACCTGGAGCTGGTTGAGCAACGCGATGCTCTTGATGGTCGACGTAGGAAAGATCTCGAGCTCGTCTGTGATGGTGAAAGTTAGATTCTCTTTCACGTACCCGTTCTGGAGCTGAGGAGCAAGAGGTTGCTCGATCTGGTGGGGTTCTTGTTCACTCCTCTCGGACTTTGGCCTCGTCAGGACGTCCTTGTCCACCACCATGATCGAAGGTTCCAGCTTCTCCATGCTCTGAAACAGCCGGACCACAGCTCCCAGTCCTGTGAGATCCGCCTTGTTATCGTGAAGCAGCTTCATCACGCTTCCAATAGGAAGCAGCAGGAAGTTCATCAGAAGATCGACGAAATCTTTGCCTCCCTCCAAGAACAGAACATTCCCATCGGTTTGATTGTAGAGTACTGATACGCGAATCGCTGCCAGGCTACCGTGTTGCTGCTGCTGCTCTTTCAGCATCTGCAATTCATATACTTCAGTTTTGGCCCTGAAATAAGAAACCATACCTCTTCTTCGTGACCCATACACTCCCCAACTATTTGTAAATTTTGCTCACTGACTCGATCGTCTTTGAGCTGCATGAAATTGACGTGAGAACATTACCAGAAGTTGAATCCCACATACCTCTTTTCCACTGCGTGGCGATATTTCCCCAAGTCTGCGTGGCGATATGTCACCAAGTGGTTCTTTCTCACCATCTTTGAGTGACGCCTTCTTCTCCTTCCTGGTTTCTTTGCCAGCATCTGTTAATTCAAGGTTTATGATTGACGCCTTCCTACTATCCTTCCGCGGCGACTTGGCGTCTCGTTCTTCTTTCTCGACAGCCTTGAGCGACACCTTCTTCTCTTTCCTTTCTGTATCTTTACGTGGTGATTTGCGCGGCGATTTCTCCCTCTCGCTATCTCTCTCAACAGCTTTGAGTGAGGCCTTCTTCTCTTTCCTGATCTCTTTCTCAGCATCGTTGAGTGGTGTTTTGGCCTCCCTCTCGTCAGTGTTCTTGAGTGACGTCTTCTTTTCTTTTCTGGCTTCGTGGACCTCTTTGGTAGGCACCACAATCTTTTCCTGAGAAGCTGGTTTATCCTCCTCTTCAGCCAGATCTTCCTCCTTGTCAGGAACAATTACCATATCTTCTTCTTCGTTCACCGGATAACCGTCTTCCACCAATTCAATCTTGTCATCAGTACTTTCGGCCTCTTGCTGGACAGTCTCCTATACATTGTCAACGTTTCGACTGCGTCCATTACAATTCAGACGTTCTCGTACCTCTAGATCGGATTCTTCAGACGATTCTCCCACCTCCGACTGCTGCAAATCCTCGTCATTCACTTCCACAACTTGTTGCTCAGCATCTTCCTACACAACGCAAAGTGTTCTTGCTCATTTGGAGTTATGGGAGTGATTCGTTCAAACCTCTGGTACTTCAACTTCTACTAAATCTTGCTGTTGCATCTCTTCTTCCACTTCCTTTTCAGTTTTGACGCCGTCCTCGTCGTCCTCCGGCTGCTCCTGGACGTTCTCCTCAACCACGTCGGGACGTGGAGATGGCAGAGCTTCAGCCTGCTGCACATTTTCTTCCACAACCATCTGCCAAACATTCACAGTTAATGTCGCTCATTTCCAAGAAAAATACGTACATTTACTGCCGTTGTGTGTCAAGCAGAAGCAGAAAAAACCTGATCACGTTCTTCAACTTCTGGTGGTGCCTGTGTTCGAAAAAAAAAAAGGAAAAAGAAAAAAGCCAAACCAGACGAGTTCACGACAAAGAACGAAAGAAAGAAAAACATAAAATGAAAAGAGAGAACTTACAGTGGATTTGCGCTTCCTCGCCACTTCACTCTTTCGTTTTTTCTCGTCTAGAACATTTTGGTCTTCCCTCACTGCACCAACAAGGCTTGCGATTTTCAAAAGCAGCGCGTGAAGGTACGATTGAATACCCGTCCTTTGTGGGGGCGGCGGCGGTGTGACGATGGGCGTAGGCGTAGGAGGCGGCCCCCCAAAAGTGGAGCGCCTCCGCCCACTCGATCCTGGCGTCTGGAAATTCAAAGAAAAGAGTTCGAATGACCAAAGACACCACACGAATCTTTCATACCTCTGCGAGCGAATACTTCTTGACGGAATTAGACCGATCGCCCATGCTTGACTGATCAACCACCGACGCGCTCGATTCTTGTCACAAGATTTAGCTCCCTCCAATGCGCATTGCCCCTCCTAGAACCCTAGCCCTATATACCCTTCAACATCTCATCCATTCAAATTCAAATTTGCGCGCCCAATAGAAGAAATTTATGAAATTCTTCATATCAAGCAAGGAACACGGACGCGAATAATCTAATAGCGATCCAGGCGGCCATGCTGACAGTATATACAGGCATCTTTTGGAGATGCCTGCCACCGAGCTGGTGACATAGACGCCTTGCTGGTAGGATTTTTAATTTGGTTATGGGTAAAGCATTAATCAAAGATCAAGAATTCGTACAATCTTGACCGTTGGTCGCGGCCATCGTGCGGCCAGATTTGAATTGTGTAGAATGCGGTTAAATACGCGGGAGTTCTAACCTCCTAACTTTGGCGCTGCGTTGGAAGCGTGGCGGGCGGCGCTGTGTTCTTCGTTGGCGGCGAGGATGGCGATCGATCGCGGTCGCGAAGCTGCGAAGGTAATCCCATTCGTTTGTTCCAGCTCAGGCTCGATCCAGCTGGCGGAGGTCTAGGGCGTGGGCGTAGACCTAGTGTCTGGGGAGCCAGGAATGGGGAATCGATCGAAATATCGCAGTGAGGAATCGATGGCCGGGAAAGAGGATTCTGCCAGCGATCGGAACAAGACAGGCATGTGGGGAATCGATTGATCTAAAGCGGGTGTTTTCGCCATGGCGAGGCCAACGAGCACCAGTCCAGTGTGGTCGTCCAGCATTGAGGACGACGATGAAGAAGATGATTTTGTTTTCCAGGAATGGGGTCCTGGGGAAATCGAGGACATGCCTCCAAGGCCTGTGACCGCCGGAAGCTTGGGTACCAGGGCTAGAACACCGCAAAGTGGCATGTCCAGGGGAGGCGCCTCAAGGCCTCCCACGCCCTTCATCGCGCCTTGTCCGCTGCCAAAGATGAAAATTCTCAAGGAGCGCGACATGGAGTCTCTTTACGAGGAGATAATGAAGCTCTCTCAAGCGATAAACGATCGAAACGCTCTCATCAAGAAGCAAAAGGTGTACGCGTCCAGGCTGAGGCTTCAAAACAGGTGCTCTATTTTCTCTTTGCTAGAAGCGTTCTATTTTCCTTGTTGGTGATTCAAGGCTTTATTGGTTTCAGTGGACATTCTGTATTACAGGAGATTGGAGAAAAACGTGGATAGTTTGGAGAAGCTGGGGATAAAGGGTCCTCGGACTGGTGCTCCAACGAGGTTGCGTGCTATTGTTCAGGGTACGTTCTACAACTGAATTGTTCCAAGCATTCAGCATTTACTTTTTATAATCTCTGTAGGCCTTAGATTGAAGATGGCAAAGTTTGAAGCTCTCTGTAGCTCGCAGGAGGACGAGATATACCAGCTTGAACGAGACTTACGCGTGACCAATTCAAAAGTCAGTGAGCTTTTCAGCTTCAGGTTTATTAATTTAACTCTTTAGAAATTGCTGTTCTCGTTTCAGGAGATCCAAATTGAAAGAGATGTCTTTGCCGGGGAAATGGGAAGATTGCAGGAGGTAATCAAGCATCTCAAGAAGTCACAGCAACGACTGAGCAAAGAAAACAAGGAGATCAATTACATGAAAGACAAGAACAAGATACTCGAACTTGCAAACGAGCGGCTTCATGCCTCCATCCAGGTATTCGACCTTCCTGTCTTTAGGAGTGTAAAGTTCTTGATTCTGTAGGCTCTACAAGGCTCTGTCACAAAAGCCAACGAGGACATGGATGCAAGCAAGCAGGCAGCAGAATCGGCAACGCAAGAGGCAAAAGAAATGACCAGGCTTTATGACAGAATTATGGAGCACAAGAGTTGCCTCGAAAAACTGGTCGATATGGAGAAAGCCAGCAAGGAGAAGGTAGAAAGGAGAACGCTCACTTTGTCAGCATTGATAACAAGGACGGAGAAGCAGCTGATGGAACTCGCTAGAAAAGGTGTTCCTATACCTGGACTTAAGCTGAGAGGTGGAGGAGCAGATGATCCTTACTACAACGTTGTGTATAGAAGTGAAGGTGCTGGTGACGCGGTTACTCAGGTCGCGGTGGATCAAGGGTGCCAGACATCTTCTCACTCAGCCAAGCCAGCAGCTGTTCCAAGATGCCGGAGCGCCAGCCCGGTGGTGCCAAAACTCAACCTTGGAAAGCTCTCGGCCTCGGATGTATGTGAGAAGCCCAAACCAAATACTGTTGTTCCAGTGCCGCCGGAGGTAGCGTCCAAGTCGTCCAAGTCCTCAAAGTCCTCCAAGAAGTCTTCGAAGTCTTCGAAGGCATCGAAAAAGAAGACTAGAGGTTCACCGTCACCAGAACCTTATTCAAGACCACCGTCGCGTCTGGCTTTCACTTCCGAGGCTTCAGTGCCTGCGAGTTTGCCTCAGCCAAATGAAAGTTTTCCTTCAGCTCCAGGACCACCACCACCAGCAGCACTAGCGGCAGAAGCAGCAGCAGCACCACCGCCACCAGCACCAGTGGCAACAGTAGCAGCAGCACCACCACCACCAGCGGTAGCTCCTCCTGTTGCGACAGCAACAATAGCTGCACAAGCTTCACCACCAGCAGTATCTCCTGCCGCTGCTCCATCATCAGACCGAGAGATCCATCGTGTGAAGAACGAATCCAGAAAGCTGGAGACAGTCACAGAAGAGATGGAAGTCACCGTCCAGAGCTACAACGACAAGCGGCCAAGCACAAGCTTGGGCGACAGGCGGCAGCAACTTAGAAGCAACGAGACGAGCACAAGCTCCAGCAGCTACTTCAACTCAATGGGCAAGAACAAGCAACGGATGCTGGAAATTCGATCGCAGCGAGACCAGGAGTGCCTTGCGTGGCTTCGAACGTTGGAAGTTCCTGAAGAACAGGCCGCCGAAAATGTGAGAGCCACCACGACCGCTACCACAACGTTGGAACAGCCTTGCCGGAGCCGGGCACCACCGAAGCCAGACGTGGTCTTTGCGGAGGACACCTTACAGATGACTCAGTTAACCAGACCGGCTTTCAAGTTTCCCACTAGACCAGGTAACCGACGTGTTTGGCGACAACAGCATCCTCCATAGCTCCACAGCTGGGCGATTCTTGGTGTACAGTGGTGGGTCTTGTTTTGTATAGTAGTGACTTTTCTTTTTCCTCGGTGCAGATGATCTAGCCTCGTTCATCGTGATCACACAAAGCTCGCAAGCAGCAGATACGAAGACGAGTCTCCCGGAGCCGAGTTAAGGGCCGACTTGGCCGCCAGAGCTCCATCCCGGTGTTCTTCGTGGTTCTTGCAACTCCCCAGCAGCGCCGTCCACTCCACCGAGTCTGGAACAAATGGCATGCTCCCGACAAGCTCCCGAGCCTCTCGCACGAATCCGGATCGAGCGAGCGAGTCGACCATGCAGCAGTAGTGCTGCCTTGTCGGCTGAATCCCGAAATCCATAGCCATCGACACGAAGTTCCTGCCGCTGTCGTAGACTTTCCCGGCATGGCTACACGAAAGTAGCACGAGCACGAAGCACACCTCGTCGGGAAACTCGCTGGCCTTCATCTCGTCGAAAACGTCCAATGCCTGCAAAGGATGCCCATTCAAGGAATATGCCGCGAGCATCGAGCTCCACGCGACGAAGTCCTGGCGGGGCATGGAATCGAACACCGCATATGCCTCGGCAAGATACCCGTTCCGGGAATATGCCGCCAGCATCGAGTTCCACGCGAAGTCGTCGCGCTGTGGGATGCCCTGGAATATCTCCCGAGCCAGGGAAAGATACCCATGCCGGGCATATGCCTCTAGCATCGCGCTCCACGAAGCGCCATCTCGTTGGGGCATGGAATCGAACAGCGCCCGAGCTTCTTCCAGCCCGTGCGCGCTGTGGGCTAGGGCGGAGATGATCGCGTTCCAGGCGGTGGGATCGAGCTTGTCCGGCAGGGATTCTAGCATTGCTTTCGCGGAATCGACAGATTGGGTGGAATTCGCAACCAGCATTGCCGTGGATGAGATGAGATCACACTCGGGCATGCTCTCGTAAATCCCTTGCGCCTCTCCGACCAGGCTGTGCTGCGCAAGAACGCCCAGCATTGCGGTGGCGGAGTAGAGATCTTTCTCGGGCATCGAGCGGTACAGGTCTCTGGATTCTTGGAGATGCCCTCTCTGGGCATATGCGGCAAGAAGCGCAGTCGAAGAGACTATACTTCTCTCTGGCATTCGATCAAACAAAAGCTTTGCCTCTCGCAAGCCCTGAGAAGTGATTGTAGCGACAAGCATTGCCGTCCAGGTGAAAACATCCCTCTTGGGCATCAGATCAAACATCTCCTTTGCTCTGTCAAAATGCCCGCTTTGGGCATACAGTGAAATCATGGCGTTCCACGACACAAGATCCCATTCGGGCATTTCGTCGAAAAGAATCTTTGCAACCTCCAAATCCCCTTGTTGCGCAAAAGTTCCCAGCACAGCAGTGAAAGATACCAAGCTCTGCAAAGGAAGCTTATCAAACAGCTCTCGACACTCCTCGAAATGCCCGCTCCGGGCAAGCGCAGAGATCATAGCATTCCAAGTCACGAGATCTCGAAGCTTCATTCCATCAAACACTCTTCTAGCATCGCCCAGGAGGCCAATCTCCCCAAAGGCATCAACCATCGCAGTGCTGGAGCAAAGATCATGCGCGGGCATGGAATCAAAGATCGTCTTTGCTCGATCCAGGTGCCCGTTTTGGGCATATGCCGCGAGAAGAGTGTTCCAGGCGATGAGGTTCCCATTAGTAATGGAGGAATCGAAGAACTTCTTAGCGTCCCCGACGAGACCATTCCTGGCATACGCCGCCAGCATCGCATTGAGAGCCACGGTGTTCTTGCCGGGCATGGCGTCGAAGATCTTCCTGGCCTCTTCCACTTGCCCATTCCGCGAGTAGACCGAGAGCATGATCACCCACGAGAAGGCATCCTTGGCGGCAATGGCATCGAATGCGCGCCTCGCCTGCGTGATGTTCCCCAATCGCCCAAGCGTCTCGATCAGCTTGTTCCACACGGGCAAATCTTGCTTTTCTTGCTCTTGCTCCTGGATCAGCAGGCTCAAGATCTCGCCACATCGCGGCGCGCTCCTGCTCGAGGCCTTGATGCGATCCAGCCATTGCTGGCGATTCATCGCGGGGCGCCCATGATGGATCGATCGATGGATTGCCCTCCCCTAAAAGCATGGATTTAGGGCAGGCGATGAGCGTGGCGCGGTGGCCTCCGCTATGCCTGGTTCCATCGCAATGCGGCAGCAAGATCGCGCACAGATCTAGCTCCTCGCAGCCCAGATTTAGGAGATCGAGGAGGAGATCGACGGTAAGCGTGAGGGCGAGTATGGAGGAGGCCAGGAGCGCGATCGAAGTGGTGCGCTGGGCATTCTCCGAGGATCCCGCGTCGTGGGGAGCTGCCATGGTCGCCAATGGTGTGATCTTCGCGCTGGGATTCCCGCTGCTTAGGGCTGGCCTCACCTGGCCGGGCGTCGGCAATGCTTACATCCTGGGATTGGTGCTGTGGAGGGCGTTTGGCGGACAAGGCTTGCTCGTCGCCGCGATCTACTTTTGCCTGGTGAGTCTCTCGATCCATCGCCAGATTTCTTGGGGAAAAAGTTTCGAGAGGTTTCTTCGTTCTTGCAGGGAACTGGAGCGACCAAGGTGAAGATCAAGCAAAAGGAGGCCGAGGGGATCGCGGAGAAGCGGAGTGGCAAGCGCGGGCCAGCGAGCGTGTGGGGATCTGGGAGCGCCGGCATTGTGTGCGCGCTGGCCGCCGCCTCTGGGATCGGTGGAAGCGATTTCCTCCCGCTCTGGAAGCTCGCCTTCGTCGCCAGCTTCTCCACCAAGCTCAGCGACACCATCTCCAGCGAGATCGGCAAAGCTTACGGCAAGACAACGTGAGCGAGTTCTTTCGAGTTCTTCTTTGTCGTGATCATCTTTCTCATTCTCAGGTACCTCGTGACGAACTTCTCGATCGTTCCGCGAGGAACCGAGGGAGCAGTGAGTTTGGAAGGCACTGCCGCTGGACTCGTTGCTTCGATCCTCCTAGCGTCCGCTGCCTGGAGCTTGCATGAGGTTTGGATAAATCGTTTCCAGATCGCTTGATCGTGATCTTCGATCGTGTTCTTGCGCTAGGTGGATTTTTCCGGAGCGGTGATCTGTGTGATATCTTCGCAAGTTGCCAATTTTTTCGAGAGCTATCTGGGAGCTACGTTACAAGGCAAGCCTGGATTCGAATGGGTAAATCCACGAATTTTTTCTTACTATTCGTTCTAACTAAAGTACCATCTCCCTTGTGTTCTTGTGTAGCTAAACAACGACATTGTCAATGTATTAAACATCGCGGCGGGTGCAACATTAGCTATCCTTTTCAAGCTCTCATTTATGTGAATATGCTACCAAAGCTCTGTGAATATACCATTTTCTTACACCAAATAGAATATTCTTGGGTGCCGTAAAACCCTAGGCTAGGGTTCTTCAATGGGACACACGCGAAGGGTGCGTCTTGGATCTTCGTTCTTCTGGATCGATTCATTGCTTGTTGTTGCAGAGGAAGAAGCACACGCACAAGGAGTTAGCGCCGAGCCATGAGACGGGCGAGAAGATTCCCAGGAGCTTTGTCATTGGCAGAGGGAAACTGCCGGTGCTTCTCCGGAATTTGGAGCAGGATTTGCGCAAGCTGATGCTTCCTCACACTGCATTGCATCTCAAGGTAAGCCCGGGCAGATTTTCCAGAGGAAATGCGAGTGACCTCTCTCTTTAGGAATCTGGGAAGAACACGCTTAAGGACTTTGTTCACGTCGCTGGTCCTTTGGGTGTTTCGCATTTTGTGATCCTGTCCAACACGAAGAACGCTCCTTACATGAAAGTTGCCCGAAGTCCTCACGGCCCGACCATGACCTTCAAGGTTCATGATTTCTGCCTGGCCGCGGACGTTGCTCGTGCTCTTCTAAGGTACCGAGCACCACCATCAATCTTCAAAAATCCACCTTTGGTAAAAAAAACTTGTTTTTTGCAAAGACGATCGTTATGACTCGTCCTTCTGCTCAGGTTGTTCTTAACGGATTCAATCCTGCTGAAGCTCACTTGAAGCTTGTGACAATTATGTTCCAAAACATTTTCCCAGTTATCGATGTGAAAAAGGTAGAGCTGCATCACAAGCTCACGTCGATTTATAGTTGATTTTCAGGTGAAACTTTCGCTTTGTCAAAGGGTTCTCCTCTTGAACTATGACAAAGACACAAAGGTGATCGACTTTCGCCACTATGCGATCAGCGCACAGCCCGTCGGGGTTTCTCGTGGAATTCGTAAGCTTGTCCAACGTACCAAAATTCCAGATCTCAGGACGCTCAACGACGTGAGCGAGTTTGTTACCAAGTATGCCTCTCTAGCCAAGCAACAGTGTCATTGTTTCTCACGGCCTTTTCTTCTTGTTCGTAGATCCGGATATGGGTCTGAGAGCGAAGCTGAGAATGAATCCTCAAGGGTGACGCTGCCACAAGATTATGGACGAGGAAATCCGGCATCACAACAGAGTGCTGTCAAGCTCCATGAGATCGGGCCTAGAATGACGCTGCAGCTCGTGAAAGTCGAGGAGGGGCTTTGTTCAGGAGCGGTCATGTTCCACGAGTATGGTATGTTTTCATGCACTGCGTGTGGAAGCAGCTTGCTGACGACGAGCTGTTTTTCGTTTCTTTTCAGTTAAAAAAACCGCGGAAGAAGTAGCAGAACTGAAAGAAACTTTCGAGAAGCGGGAGGCATTACGGAAGCAAAGAAAGGCAGAACAGGAAGCGAACGTTCGACGGAAAGAGTGAGCGTTGTTCCTCTTTGTTTCTCTTTGGCTCAGCTCTCTGATCTGCCTGTCAGGCTTTTGAGAGAAGAAAACAAGAAGAAGAACAAGAAAAAGAAGGAGGAGCCAGTCGATGATATGGACGTGGACATGGATGGTGAGGAACAACACGAGGAGGAGGAAGAGGACGACGATGCCGATTATTATCGCCAGGAAGTCGGTGAAGAACCTGGCGAAGGTAAACGAAACTTTACTTTGTTGCGACAAGTTCCTTGTTTCTGATGGAGTTTTTCTTGCTTTTTGTGCCAGACTTTACGACCGGAGCAGCGCAAAAGCGTGGATTTAAGCGCGGATTCAAAGTTGGACGAGCAAAGGTTAACCAGTTCCCGAAGATGGGGAAGTTCGCGACGGGGAAACCACGATCAAACAAACGAGAAAGAGAAAGGGAGGATCATCAACGTAGAGGCTCCAAGAACAAGATGGGGAACCCACGATCAAACAAAAGAGGAAGAGGAAGGGAGGATCACCAACGTAGCGGCAGCAAGAACAAGCGCTCCAAGACTTAGAAGAATCAAAAACAAAGAAAGCGCGCCCGTTGGATGGCGGAGAATCGGACGTTCACCGCTGTTCCAGCACATTGCGTCGCGCTGGAGGACAGCTGTGGTACGGTATGGCGTACGGCACTGGCGAGATCCACGGCCGTGGTTGAGTGGAGCTTGAGGCTATGGTGGACGATGAAGTGTGACCTTTCACAAGTGAAAAGAAGAGAGGCAAATTAGGGATACTAGGTTTTTGCGCGCATGGTGTAGTCTGGTAGGGCATTTGGCAGGGCGCGGCGATGGGGCTGTGGGACGCCTTCCTCAATTGGCTTCGCAGGTAAGAGCACGAATCATCCATGGATTTCTTCCCAGCTCTGGTGATTGAGCTCTCTGTCTCTCGCTCTCTCTTAGTTTGTTCTTCACGCAAGAAATGGAGCTCTCGCTGATTGGACTCCAAAACGCTGGCAAGACGTCGCTGGTGAATGTGATTGCGGTATGGAAAATTCGCGAATGCGCAGAGAGTCTTTCTTGGCTGATCTTTTCTAGCTCCTCCATTGCAGACTGGTGGATTCAACGAGGACATGATTCCAACGGTAGGAATTCTGTCGATCGATCCATCCTTTTCTCCTCCATGCCTGACCTGAGGATCTCTCGCAGGTGGGATTCAACATGAGAAAAGTGACCAAAGGCAATGTGACGATCAAGCTGTGGGATCTGGGCGGACAACCACGCTTCCGGAGTATGTGGGAGCGCTATTGCCGCGGAGTTTCAGCTATCGTGTAAGAACTTCTCGAGCCGCCAACTTGCGACGACTAACGAACGCACGAAAAAAAAAACTTTCTTTGGTTTTCCAGCTACGTTGTGGATGCTTCTGATAGAGAGAACGTCGCGATTTCCAGGGACGAGCTCCATGATCTACTGGGAAAGCCATCGCTAGCCGGAGTACCAGTGCTAGTTCTCGGTAACAAGATTGATAAGCCGGATCATCTCTCCAAGCAGGCTTTGATCGATCAAATGTGAGTAAGCCAGCAGCAAAGTTCCTCTTTTTTCTAGACGATTGTTCTTACGGCTTCTTTCTCTTGCAGGAGCTTGCAATCTCTGGCGGACAGGGAGGTTTCTTGCTACATGATCTCGTGCAAGAACTCCACCAACATCGAAGTAGTCATCGAGTGGCTCGTCAAGCACTCGAAAACGAAGAGCTGACGCGCGGATCGATCGATTTCACTCCACTCCCTGGTATGTATTCTCCGCGATTGAGGTGTGTCACAACGCAATAAGGGGGGCCTGGGCTGGTCTGGGAATTTTTGTATAGCTTTGTATCTATCATTCTTGCTATGCTGCGCTCAGAAGTTCCTTCTCTCGTCTAGTTCTTGGGCAGTGTTCTCAGATCTTCTCTTAGATCTTCTTTAGATCTTCTTAGATCTTGGGTAGAAAAGGGCGAAGGTTTTTCTTTCTCACAAAGTGGTGGAACAATGGTGTGCTATCATCTCAGGCTGCGCTTCGAGCGCTACTACATGGCGGCGTTCATCAGCAGCGCGCGAGTGCGCAAGGTGGTGATGGCGACGAGCAGCGAATCGCTCCTCCAGGACAAGAAGAAGCAGCGGATGAGCTTGGATTCAGCGGAGCTCGTTGGCAGGGCGCTGGCGGAGAGGATGAAGGCCAAATGCCTCCACAAGGCCAAGTTTGACATGAAGCGCGAGTTCGCGGACAAGGATCCCAGATACCACGACTACATCACCACCATCGCGGTCGCGCTCAGCCAGAACGGCATCACGCTCTACTGACAGGATAGATTGGATGGATCGGGAAGGGAGGGGTTTAGGGTTCTTGGCGGCTATGGCGATCCTGCAGTTCTTGCGGCTGCGCTTCCACAACAAGTACATCATCGCGTTTGTGGGGAATCGCAAGACAACGCAGCATGCCGAGGCGTCGTCGGTGGAGGCGGCGCTGCGCGATCGGATGCCCAAGACGAACAGCCTCCAGGCGGCGGAGCTGGTTGGATTCACGCTGGCGGAGAGGATGAGGAAGAAGCAGATGCTCAGGGCGAGGTTTAACATGGAGGCCGAGATCGCGGAGAAGGCGCCCAAGTTCCATAGCCACATCAAGGTCATCACGGACACTCTCCGCAAGAATGGGATCTCACTGCTCAGCTAGATTTTAGCTTAGAATGATGCAAGAGGAAGAAGAAGAGGAAGAATGGCGTCGGCGATGATGGAATCCCTCTCCTTCCAGGGCCAGCTCCAGCGATGCGTAGATCTCTCAACAGGGCGCGAGATCCACAGGAAAATGGTCGCGAGTGGGAATCCAGTGGATTGGAACTCGTTGGTGAGAATGTATGGCCGATTTGGGAGCCTGGAGGAGGCACGAAGAGCGCTAGAGAGCGCCGTGGAGCCGGATGTTTGTGCTTGGACCGCGATGCTACGAGCGTATGCCTTGAGCGGGCATCTTGGTCTCGCCAAATCCACCTTCGATCGAATGCCCGAACCGGATCTCTTCGCTTTCAACACGATGATCACGGCGTTCGCGAGGAGCGAAGAACTCGCGGGCGCCAAAGCCCTCTTCGATTCCATGCCGGAGAGGAACGTCGTCTCCTACACCGCGATGCTCCAGGCATATTCCCTGGCTGGGCATCTTGCCGATGCGAAGGCCATGTTTGACAAGATGCCGCAACGCAACGTTGTAGGATGGACGGCAATGATTCAAGCCTATGCCCACGGCGGGCATCCCGGCGATGCGCGGCGGATCTTCGACCGGATGCCGCAACGCACCACAGTCTCGTGGAACGCGATGCTCGAGGCATATACTATGCCCGGGCATATGCTCGAAGACGCGAGCGGCATATTCGACGCCATGCCCGAGTGGAGCCTGGTATCCTGGACGGGCATGCTCCAAATGTATGCCACGAGCGGGCAGCTCAACCGGGCAGCGCGCGTGTTCGATTCCATGCCCGAGCACGATATCGTGTGCTCTACCGCGATGCTCCAGGCATATTCCCAGCGCGGCCAAATGGAGCTCGCGGGTGGGGTGCTGGAATCCATGCCTGAGTGGAATGCCGCGACGAGCACGGCTATGGTGATTGGATTCGCCCATCTGGGGCATCTGGATCTGGCGAAGATCGCGTTCCACGCCATGCCCGAGCACGCGATGGCGGCGTGGACGGTGCTGCTCGAGGCGCTGGCGGTGAATGGAGAGATTGGCGATGCGGGCAGGGTGTTCGATCGCATGCCAGAGCGCGACCTCGTGTCGTGGACGTCGATGATCGCGATCCAGTCGCGGACGAGGAGCGCGATCGATCTCTTCCGGATGCTCTGCGCGGAGGGGCTGGATCCCGACGATGTGTGCCTCACGCACGTCCTGGCAGCTTGCAATCACGTCGGGATGGTGGGCGAGGGATTGCGGCTGGGGATGGGAATGCTCCCGGACTTTGGGATCGCGGCCAGGGAGGAGCATCTGTCGTCGATGATCCAGGCGCTGGGGCGAGCAGGGGATCTAGTCCGGGCGCAGGACCTGGTTGGGTCGGGCGGGATCGCGAGCGCGAACTCGGTGGCCTGGACGGCGCTGCTGGCTGGCTGCCAGATCCACCGGGATGTGGATCGCGCAAGGCGAGTGTGGGGAGAGCTCACCAATTTGCTGCCCAGCGACGCTGTGCCACAGATCCTATTGGCAAACATTTGCTCGCAATCCATCGCGAGCTAAGTTGGATGTTTGCGAGAGCTCAATCTGCGAGAGCTCCACTGAGATCCTCATGGAAACGTGTTGGATATCACGGCTCTACGCCAGGGAATCGAGCGGACGATGGGCAGTGCTCGTATCGGCTGCCTGTTCTCGCGCATGGACAGGTTCTTCGTCGTCAAACTCTGGCGTGAAACCAACACCGTGCAAGTAACATCGTTTCTTCCAGTGCCGGATCAATCGTCCAAGGAGGAGGATTTCATGCTCATGAAACTGAGGTGGCTGGATGCGTGCGAGCAAGGGAGTGTCACCCTGAGCGACGTTCTTCCAGCGGAGCCCACGGCCGGGTTTCGCTCGCTGGTTTCTTACGTGGAAGAGATCCAGCGACTGTTTGGACTGCCACCTTCGATTGTGCCCTTGGTGGGATCATCCCCGTAAAAAGAGATCCACGCCTCGGAGCTCTCTTTCCTGGCTCACGGCCACAAGTCGCTTGTTCTCTTGAGGAGAAGGAAGGGGACTGTCGTCGAGGTGTGCTTGCGGGAGGATGCTAGCAACGAGACGCGGATTCACCCGGGGCCTCGTCGATCACGGGACAGTGGACCTTGGAAGTTCGCAGGGCGTGTTCCATTTCCATGCAGAAGTTCGCAGGGCTGGAAGGGCACGGGGAGTCCTTGTCCGCGCAGCACGTCCCTGGCTTGGAGGCCACGGAGAGGATGTGGAAGCAAGCCTACGCTGGACTGCGACACCTTCACAGCAAAGGAGTGCTCCATCGCAATGTCAAGCCGGACAACATGATCGTCTTCCATGAACGAGTGCTCAAGCTACACGACTACGATGTTTCGTGCTCCAAGGGCGATGGCCGTCACACGACCTCGCCTTCGCAAATGTGTCCCTACGTGGAGGACGAGGACGTCTTGGTCTTGGCGCTCGCTATGTGAAGTGCAAGGTGGCCGTGGTTACCAAGGAACCTCGCCTTCACATCTTCCAGAACGAGCTACGTCCGGATCGTTTCCCCGAGTACATGAGGCACGCAGTTACTTTCGCGATGGCGAGCCTCGGTTTGGATTTGCAGTTTCGTCGATTATTCTTCCAAGCTTTAAATTTTTGGATCGGAGCTAGTTAATGAAGAGCAAGAACATGATTCAAGGACTTATCTAAACTTTGCTACTATTCATCTCCAGAGAATTACACAATAATACAATTAGCTAATAATGCAAGTGTTGGGGACAAGCTCATTTCGTGATTTGGATCCATAACTTTGGGAAAAAGATTGGCTCTGTCAACAATGACATGCGATTGTTAACACAAAAATGTGTATATTGTTTTGATAGGCTACGATGTCGGAATCCATGACAAATTGGAAAAGCCAAAAAAACGGTGGACTTTCTACCATTTCCATGATAAAAAAATCCGATGGTTATCACATAGAACTTAATTTTATAGAACCTTAATTGTTGAGCAATTGCCTATTAAGCTGATTGATGGATCAAAGCTTTCCGACACTGACGCTCCAACAACGTGGGGCCGGCTGGGCTGGCGGGCCTCGGAACGGGATCGCGAAATGAGGAAAAGATCCATTTTCGTGTCTTTTATAGTTGTCAACTTTTATGCTGAAACAAATATATCTTCAGCTGAGCGATAGAGCTGAGAAGAGGAAATGGGGAGTGATTTTGTTTTGGTTGTGGCGGCAGCACTATTGATCGCTGCTGTGCTATGGAAGCTATGGAAGAGTAGAATTAAAACGTCTCTTCTTCCCCCAGGTCCCATTGGGCTTCCACTGATCGGCCATCTCCACTTGCTCTTTGCAAATCCTCCACACACCGTGCTCCAGAGGCTGTCGGCTCGCCATGGACCGATCATGTCACTGCGATTCGGGCATGTTCCAGTGGTTGTCGCCTCCAGCCCAGCAGCCGCCAAGGAGTTCCTCAAGACCCACGATGCCGCCTTTGCATCTCGCCCACTGAGCGCCGTCGGGAGGATCTTCGTCCACTACAACGCTGACATCGCTTTCGCCCCCTATGGCGACTCGTGGCGGCACTTGCGCAAGATCGCGACACTGGAGCTCCTCACAGCTCGCCGGATTGACATGTTTCAGGGCGCGAGAATGGAAGAGGTAAGATCCATGTGCCAATCGCTACTAGGGGTGAACAATTGCGAGACGGGGATCGTGGATGTTCGTGGGCGACTGTCGGCACTCACGTTCAATCTCATCACTTTCATGCTCATGGGCAAGCGCTACTTTGGCAAGGACGCAGAGAACGATGAGGGGGCAAGGAAGTTTCTGAAAGTGATTGCGGGTACATTTGAGGTATGTGGAGAGTTTCCAATCGGGGATTATTTCCCGTGGCTCCCCAAGTTTTTAGATCCGGCAGAACATCGTATGCATTCCCTGGCTAAATCATTGCACGAGTTCCTTGGGGACAACATCTCCGAGCACGAGAACAAGAGAAATAACAGTGAGAAAAATAGCACCGAAGATGATTTCTTGGACATCCTCCTTTCCCTGAGAGACAATGGCGACGAGCGACTACAAAACAAAAATATCATAAGTGTTATGACAGTAAGAAAAGTTTCTCAATTCGACCAATCAGTAGCTCATCACTCACGATCTTTTTCTTGGCAGAACTTGGTCGCGGCCGGAACTGAAACCTCAGCAGTGACGCTCGAGTGGGCGATGGCCGAGTTGATCAAAAACCCCACCATCGCCGCCAAAGCCCGAGAAGAGATCGAGTTAGTTCTTGGCGAGAAGTGGATGACGAAGATGGTGGAAGAGCACGACCTCTCACAGCTAACATATCTCCAAGCCATCGTCAAGGAGACACTCCGGCTACATCCGGCAGTACCACTGCTCGTCCCCCACCAATCCACGCAGCCGGTTAGCAACGTCATGGGGTACCACATACCGCGCGGCACGACGGTGCTCATCAACGCCTACGCCATCGCCAGAGACACTTCCGCCTGGGGTGACGATGCGCTGCTCTTCCGGCCCGAGAGATTCCTTGGCACGGATCTGGACATCCGGGGCAGGGACTTCGAGGCGGTGCCGTTTGGATCAGGGCGGCGACAATGCCCGGGAATGGCACTGGCGCTCACCACTGTCCATCTCACGCTTGCCAACCTCCTCCATGGATTCGAGTGGAGAGAACCCAGCGGTGAGAGCATCGACACGAGCAAGGAGCAGTATGGATTGACGTTGCTCATGGCAAACAAGCTGCGATTGATCTCCACCCCTCGCCTGGAACAAAGTACCTTTTAACGATTAAGCAGTCAGCTATAAAAATAAAACATGCTCCAAACCCTAAAGGATCAGATCTGATGATGGCTAAAAAAGCTTTGGAGACAAAGGGGGATTCCATCCAAATCGATGTGTTGGCGTATGGCTCCTGATTAGAAAGTAGATTGCAAAAGGGAAGTGTGCTGGAGCAGCGGCTGAACAGGCAAGATATGGAATTGAAGCCTCTCCCAGAGCTATGCCCTCCCCAAGGCTTTCTTCCCCCAAGCTGAGATGATAGAGTTTACGACAGCATTGGAGGCATGGCAATGCACACCTGAGTGTAAAAAGAAGCTGAGTTATCTCTACACCAGCATTTCAGACTACGGCCAGTTGCAAGCGGAGATGAGGATGCGCCAGCATTGGAGAAGCTTGGTATCTGAGAGAAAGTGGAGATCAGTTTTAGAGTTTGCTGGTTTATGACCGTCTCGCTCCGGGGCTTCAAGAACATTCCATTTGAACTGGCTAGTGATGCTGATAGAATATTCAAGGAGCTTCACGATGCGTGTGCATGACCGCCAGACTGCCTTGTCTGCTTCTTGGAGATGTTTCTCAGGCTTATGGTCGGGGGAAGCTTGGTGCAAGAATGTGGTGCACGGATCAAATTCATTGGGGCTTGTGCGTTACTGCTTCACGGAGTCGAGCTCAGAAATGTGGACACCTGCTGGAAGCTGTTGTTGGAGAGCACCACAACGCTTCTAAGCGAAGATGAAGATAAGCTTTTGGACTTCTTGTCATTGGAGTGCAACTTGTCCAATCCCTTGCTCCAATCTATGCGGGCTGCAAGGAAGAACAAGAATGCAGATTCTGCCAACCCCTTACTAGCTATGCACGTTGCAAGCACTAACGTAGATGTTGTCAAGCCGCTGATAAGCTGAACATTAACAAGAGCTTCAATCACACTTGGAAATCAAATTAACTCTTAGTCTATTCTTTTCCAAGTTTTCAACAATTTCTTCAGAATATTTAATACTTACAAATTGTGCCAAAAGTTCGTGGTTTCTTTCTTATTCATGGAAGCTATTCTTCCAAGCTTTCTTTCGATCGGAGCTATAAGGTACCTTGTTCTAGCCGTGGGGTGGCGATCAGTCGCAGCTTCTTTGCCAAGAGCAGCGTCAATCCATACTGCTCCTTGCTCGTGTCGATGCTCTCACCGCTGGGCTCTCTCCACTCGAATCCATGGAGGAGGTTGGCAAGCGTGAGATGGACAGTGGTGAGCGCCAGTGCCATTCCCGGGCATTGTCGCCGCCCCGATCCAAACGGGACAGCCTCGAAGTCCCTGCCCCGGATGTCCAGATCCGTGCCAAGGAATCTCTCGGGCCGGAAGAGCAGCGCGTCGTCACCCCAGGCGGTAGAGTCTCTGGCGATGGCGTAGGCATTGATGAGCACCGTCGTGCCGCGTGGTACATGGTACCCCATTACATTGCTAACCGCCTCGGTGGATTGGTGGGGGACCAGCAGCGGTCCCGCAGGATGCAGCCGGAGTGTCTCCTTGACGATGGCTTGGAGATAAGTTAGCTGTGAAAGATCAGGCTCTTCCACCATCTTCGTCCTCCACTTCTCACCGAGAACTAGCTCGATTTCTTCTCGGGCTTTGGCGGCGATGGTGGGGTTTTTGATTGACTCGGCCATCGCCCACTCGAGCGTCACTGCTGAGGTGTCGGTTCCGGCCGTGACCAAGTTCTGCCAAGAAAAAGATTGCAAGTGATGAGACTGATTGATCGAATTGATAAACTCTTCTTCTTACTGTCATGACACTTCTGATGTTTTCGTTTTGTAGATGCTTGTCACCATTGTCTCTCAGAGAGAGGAGGATGTCTAAGAAATCCTCGTCAGTGTTATTCTTCTTGTTGTTCTTTCTCTTGTTCTCGTGCTCGGAGATGTTGTCCCCGAGGAACTCGTGCAAGGATTTAGCTAGGGAATGCATACGATGTTCTGCCGGATCCAAAAACTTGGGGAGCCACGGGAAGTAATCCTCGATTGGAAACTCTCCACATACTTCAAACGTGCCCGCAATCACTTCCAAAAAATTTTTCGCCCCCTCCTCATTTTCAGTGTCCTTGCCAAACTAACGCTTGCCCATGAGCATGAAAGTGATGAGATCTTGCCCATGAGCATGAAAGTGATGAGATTGAAGGTGAGCGCTGTCACTCGCCCACGAACATCCACAATCCCCGTCTCACGATCATCTGCTACTAGTAGCGATCGGCACATGGATCTTACTTCTTCCATTCTCGCACTCCGAAACATGTCAATCCGGCGAGCTGTGAGGAGTTCCAGCGTCGCGATCTTGCGCAAGTGCCGCCACGAGTCGCCATAAGGGGCGAAAACGATGTCGGCGTTGTAGTGGACGATGATCCTCCCGGCGGCGCTCAGCGGGCGAGACGCAAAGGCGGCGTCGTGGGTCTTGAGGAACTCCTTGGCGGCTGCTGGGCTGGAGGCGACAACCACTGGCACATGCCCGAATCGCAGCGACATGATCGGTCCATGACGAGCCGACAGCCTCTGGAGCACGGTGTGCGGAGGATTTGCAAAGAGCAAGTGGAGATGGCCGATCAGTGGAAGCCCAATGGGACCTGGAGGAAGAAGAGACGATTTAATTCTACTCTTCCATAGCTTCCATAGCACAGCAGTGATCGATAGTGCTGCCGCCACAACCAAAACAAAATCACTCGCCATTTTCTCCTTGTCGCAGCTCTCTTGCAGCTCTCACTCCGAAATATATTGTCACGAATGATCTTGACTCCTACGACCAACGCCCACGAGGACCTCAAAGGTGGCAGTCGTGGCATTTTTCTAGATTTTTTTTATCCGTCTTTTGGCAGATCTAGCTCGTCGTCTGAATCCATAACATTAACATGATCGTAATATGGCATAACCTGCGGAAAAGCAACCAAAGCGGTGGATGGAAGTATCAAAATGAAATTGCTTACATGTGGCTGCGGGAGGACCGCCTCAAAAACACAAATGTCGGGCTCGCAAAAATCCGGTGGTTCCAAAACAATGTAGGCTGCTTTGTTGTTAAAACGAGTTTCGGTCGCCTGCCATTGTTGACAATCGAAACTTTGTTGCATTTACGAAGAAAGAAAACACGAAATGAAGAAGGCCAACCTGAAACTGAGGATAGTCGGGAGCACTGAACAGAGTGATGAGCTTTCCAGCCTTGACAACGTGGTCGATCGTGTAGCCTTTGTCCATGCTCGCCATCTCAGGACGCTTCTGTCTCGCATCCGGCCCCTCGTGAGATCTCACTATAAGCTGCACTGCCGAACAATCCCAATGATCGTGAGCAAACGACGCAAAACACCACCTTACCTTTAGCTTGTGCTTGTCCATAAACTCTTGAGTACAATCCGGTCCAAAAACAAGCCCTTCGTTGCTCGCAAGCCCCGGGTTTGGAGATGGGTCGGACCACAAGATATCACCCGGTATCACGTTGTTTCCCACGGCCGACGGATCCAGCACGCCTCTTCTCGACTTTGCAAGGTCGTCCAGATCACCCAGCTTGAGCTTAGCAGCAGCTCTCACCAAGAAAGATCGCGTAGAAGGCCCCGGTTCCAAGCTCCGGAACAAGGCACCGTGTGCCATGAAAACTTTGCCGGCTATCACCGCCACCAGAGGATGGCCCTCGAAGCATCCCAAGAGCTTGCGGTAGAAATGCTTGGAATGCTCCCCAAACTTGACGGAGATCTCTTTCTCGAAGCCGTAGACGCTCGTACAGAACTTTGTCTCGTGGTTTCCTCGCAGAAGAAAAACTCGGTGAGGTAGCAATACCTGAAGAAAAAAAGTAAGAACAATACCACCTTTCACTACCACCAGAAAGAAGTAAAAAAGAAAACGTGATTCTGAGATCATACCTTCCAAGCAAGGAGGAGAAAGTAAGTCTCGAATCCCCACACTCCTCGATCCACATAGTCCCCGTTAAACACAAACATTCGTTCCTCGTCGGGGAGGCCGGCCAGATCAAAGAGATGGAGCAAATCATGGAGCTGGCCGTGCAAATCGCCCACCAGGACGATGCTACTGGAGCTCGACCGTGGCGGCTCCAGGCGCAAGCAATTGGGCTCCTTGTGCATGATCTTGGAAGCCCTGGCGATGAGCGAATCGGCGACCGCGACTGGCACTACCTGGCGCAGTGCTTGCGTCCTCAGCATGGAGGCCGCCTCCGCCAGGGTCTCGCCCACGCCGATTACCCATTCTCGCGTCAATCCTCCATCCTCTGGCCATTCCACTACCTTGCTCACCACCTCCTCCTCTGCCGCCATCGCCACTCCTTGCGCCTGATCCGAGCTGGATTCCGGGACTGGCGCCTTTGTTGTCCCTCTTCTTCGACGGTGCTCATCAACGCCTATGCCATCGCCAGAGACTCTTCCGCCTGGGGTGACGATGCGCTGCTCTTCCGGCCCGAGAGATTCCTTGGCACGGATCTGGACATCCGGGGCAGGGACTTCGAGGCAGTGCCGTTTGGATCGGGGCGGCGACAATGCCCGGGAATGGCACTGGCACTCACCACTGTCCATCTCACGCTCGCCAACCTCCTCCATGGATTCGAGTGGAGAGAGCCCAGCGGTGAGAGTATCGACACGAGCAACGAGCAATATGGATTGACGTTGCTCATGGCAAACAAGCTGCGATTGATCTCCACCCCTCGCCTGGAACAAAGTACCTTTTAACGATCCAAGCTATAAAAATAGAACATGCTCCACAGATCTGATGATGGCTGCGAAAGCTTTGGAGGAACTGAAGAAGAACAAGGGGGATTCCATCCAAATCCAACAGTCGCTGGATGTGTTGGCGTATGGTTCCTGGGAGGGGATATCCAAGCATGAGATTAGAAAGTTGGTAGGAAATAGATTGCAAAAGGGAAGCGTGCTGGAGCGGCGGCTGAACAGGCAAGATATGGAAGTGAAACCTCTCCCAGAGCTACGCCCTCCCAAGGCTTTCTTCCCCCAAGCTGAGATGATAGAGTTTACGACGGCGTTGGAGGCATGGCAATGCACACCTGAGTGTAAAAAGAAGCTGAGTTATCTCTACACCAGCATTTCAGACTACAGCCAGTTGCAAGCCACAACACAAGCAGAGATGAGGATGTGCCAGTATTGGAGAAGCTTGGTATCTGAGAACAAGTGGAGATCAGTTTTAGAGTTTGGCACCTGGTTTGTGACTGTCTCTGCATGATCTTGGAAGCCCTGGCAATGAGTGAATCGGCGACCGCGACTGGCACTACCTGGCGCAGTGCTTGCGTCCTCAGCATGGAGGCCGCCTCCGCCAGGGTCTCGCGTCAATCCTCCATCCTCTGGCCATTCCACTACCTTGCTCACCGCCTCCTCCTCCTCCTCTCCCGCCATCGCCACACCTTGCGCCTGATCCGAGCTGGATTCCGGGACTGGCGCCTTTGTTGCCCCTCTTCTTCGACGGTGCTCATCAACGCCTATGCCATCGCCAGAGACTCTTCCGCCTGGGGTGACGATGCGCTGCTCTTCCGGCCCGAGAGATTCCTTGGCACGGATCTGGACATCCGGGGCAGGGACTTCGAGGCAGTGCCGTTTGGATCGGGGCGGCGACAATGCCCGGGAATGGCACTGGCACTCACCACTGTCCATCTCACGCTCGCCAACCTCCTCCATGGATTCGAGTGGAGAGAGCCCAGCGGTGAGAATGCAACGAGCAATATGGATTGACGTTGCTCATGGCAAACAAGCTGCGATTGATCTCCACCCCTCGCCTGGAACAAAGTACCTTTTAACGATCCAAGCTATAAAAATAGAACATGCTCCACAGATCTGATGATGGCTGCGATAGCTTTGGAGGCACTGAAGAAGAACAAGGGGGATTCCATCCAAATCCAACAGTCGCTGGATGTGTTGGCGTATGGTTCCTGGGAGGGGATATCCAAGCATGAGATTAGAAAGGTGGTAGGAAATAGATTGCAGAAGGGAAGCGTGCTGGAGCGGCGGCTGAACAGGCAAGATATGGAAGTGAAGCCTCTCTCAGAGCTACGCCCTCCCAAGGCTTTCTTCCCCCAAGCTGAGATGATAGAGTTTACGATGGCGTTGGAGGCATGGCAATGCACACCTGAATGTAAAAAGAAGCTGAGTTATCTGTACACCAGCATTTCAGACTACGGCCAGTTGCAAGCCACAACACAAGCAGAGATGAGGATGTGCCAGTATTGGAGAAGCTTGGTATCTGAGAGCAAGTGGAGATCAGTTTTAGAGTTTGGCACCTGGTTTATGACTGTCTCGCTGCGGGGCTTCAAAAACATTGCCTTTGAATTGGCTAGTGATGCTGATAGATTCAAGGAGCTGCACGACGCGTGTGCACGGGGCCAGGTACCGCCAGACTGCCTTGTCTGCTTCTTGGAGATGTTTCTCAAGCATATGGTCGGGGGAAGCTTGGTGCAAGAATGTGGTGCACGGATCAAATTTATTGGGGCTTGTGCTTTACTGCTTCACAGGGTGGAGCTCAGGAATGTGGACACTGCTGGAAGCTGTTGTTGGAGAGCACCACAACGCTTCTAAGCGAAGATGAAGATAAGCTTTTGGACTTCTTGTCATCGGAGTGCAACTTGTCCAATCCCTTGCTCCAATCTATGCGGGCTGCAAGGAAGAACAAGGATGCAGATTTTGCCAACCCCTTTATTAGCTATGCACGTTGCAAGCAATAACGTAGATGTTGTCAAGCTGCTGATAAGCTGAACATTAACAAGAGCTTCAATCACACTTGGAAATCAAATTAGATCCAACAATCTACTCTTAGTCTATTCTTTTCCAAGTCTTCAACAATTTCTTCAGAATATTTAATACTTACAAATTATCTTTATATTTGTTATAAAAATGTCCATGCCATGCAAAAATCTCATTCGCAAGGAGGCTCCTGATGAGGCCGGCAGTGTCCGTTTGGAGAGATAGTGCAAAGTTCGTGGTTTCTTTCTTATTCATGGTTTATCAAGGAAGCTATTCTTCCAAGCTTTCTTTGGATCGGAGCTATAAGGTACCTTGTTCTAGCCGTGGGGTGGCGATCAGTCGCAGCTTCTTTGCCAAGAGCAGCGTCAATCCATACTGCTCCTTGCTCGTGTCGATGCTCTCACCGCTGGGCTCTCTCCACTCGAATCCATGGAGGAGGTTGGCGAGCGTGAGATGGACAGTGGTGAGCGCCAGTGCCATTCCCGGGCATTGTCGCCGCCCCGATCCAAACGGCACCGCCTCGAAGTCCCTGCCCCGGATGTCCAGATCTGTGCCAAGGAATCTCTCGGGCCGGAAGAGCAGCGCGTCATCACCCCAGGCGGAAGAGTCTCTGGCGATGGCATAGGCGTTGATGAGCACCGTCGTGCCGCGCGGTACATGGTACCCCATTACATTGCTAACCGCCTCGGTGGATTGGTGGGGGACCAGCAGCGGTCCCGCAGGATGCAGCCGGAGTGTCTCCTTGACGATGGCTTGGAGATAAGTTAGCTGTGAAAGATCAGGCTCTTCCACCATCTTTGTCCTCCACTTCTCGCCAAGAACTAGCTCGATTTCTTCTCGGGCTTTGGCGGCGATGGTGGGGTTTTTTATTGACTCGGCCATCGCCCACTCGAGCGTCACTGCTGAGGTGTCGGTTCCGGCCGTGACCAAGTTCTGCCAAGAAAAAGATTGCGAGTGATGAGACTGATTGATTGAATTGATAAACTCTTCTTCTTACTGTCATGACACTTATGATGTTTTCATTTTGTAGATGCTCATCACCATTGTCTTTTAGAGAGAGAAGGATGTCCAAAAAATCTTCATCATTGTTATTCTTCTTCTTGTTCTTTCTTTTGTTTTCATGCTCAATGATGTTGTCACTGAGGAATTCATGTAAAGATTTAGCCAAGGAATGCATACGACGTTCAGCCGGATCCAAGAATTTAGGAAGCCACGGGAAATAATCCCCAATTGGAAACTCTCCACATACCTTAAACGTGCTTGCAATCACCTCCAAAAACTTTTTTGCCCCCTTCTCATTCTCAATATCCTTGCCAAAGTAACGCTTGCCCATGAGCATCAAAGTGATGAGATTGAAGGTGAGCGCTGTCACTTGCCCACGAACATCCACGACCCCCATCTCGCGATCGTCTGCTACTAGTAGCGATCGGCACATGGATCTTACTTCTTCCATTCTCGCACCCCGAAACATGTCAATCCGGCGAGCTGTGAGGAGTTCCAGCGTCGCGATCTTGCGCAAGTGCCGCCACGAGTCACCATAGGGGGCGAAAACGATGTCGGCGTTGTAGTGGACGATGGTCCTCCCGGCGGCACTCAGCGGGCGAGACGCAAAGGCGGCGTCGTGGGTCTTGAGGAACTCCTTGGCGGCCGCTGGGCTGGAGGCGACAACCACTGGCACATGCCCGAATCGCAGCGACATGATCGGTCCATGGCGAGCCGACAGCCTCTGGAGCACGGTGTGCGGAGGATTTGCATAGAGCAAGTGGAGATGGCCGATCAGTGGAAGCCCAATGGGACCTGGAGGAAGAAGAGATGATTTAATTCTACTCCTCCATAGCTTCCATAGTACAGCAGTGATCGACAGTGCTGCCGCCACAACCAAAACAAAATCACTCGCCATTTTCTCCTTGTCGCAGCTCTTTTGCAGCTCTCACTCGGAAATATATTGTCACGGATGATCTTCTTGACTCCTACAAGCATAAAAGTCCAACGCCCACGAGGACCTCAAAGGTGGCAGTCGTGGAATTTTTCTAGATTTGTTTTATCCGTCTTTTGGCAGATCTAGCTCGTCGTCTGAATCCATAACATTAACATGATCGTAATACGGCATAACCTGCGGAAAAGCAACCAAAGCGGTGGATGGAAGTATCAAAACGAAATTGCTTACATGTGGCCGCGGGAGGACCGCCTCAAAAACACAAATGTCGGGCTTGCAAAAATCCGGTGGTTCCAAAACAATGTAGGCTGCTTTGTTGTTAAAACGAGTTTCGGTCACCTGCCATTGTTGACAATCGAAACTTCGTTGCATTTACGGAGAAAGAAAACACGAAATGAAGAAGGCCAACCTGAAACTGGGGATAGTCGGGAGCACTGAACAGAGTGATGAGCTTTCCAGCCTTGACAACGTGGTCGATCGTGTAGCCTTTGTCCATGCTCGCCATCTCGGGACGCTTCTGTCTCGCATCCGGCCCCTCGTGACATCTCACTATAAGCTGCACTGCCGAACAATGCCAATGATCGTGAGCAAACGACGCAAAACACCACCTTACCTTTAGCTTGTGCTTGTCCATAAACTCTTGAGTACAATCCAGTCCAAAAACAAGCCCGATCCCTCGACCTTCGTTGCTCGCAAGCCCCGGGTTTGGAGATGGATCGGACCACAAGATATCACCCGGTATCACGTTGTTTCCCATGGCCGACGGATCCAGCACGCCTCTTCTCGACTTTGCAAGGTCGTCCAGATCACCCAGCTTGAGCTTAGCAGCAGCTCTCACCAAGAAAGATCGCGTATAAGGCCCCGGTTTTAAGCTCCAGAACAAGCCACCGTGTGCCATGAAAACTTTGCCGGCTATCACCGCCGCCAGAGGATGGCACTCGAAACATCCCAAGAGCTTGCGATAGACATGCTTGGAATGCTCCCCAAACTTGACGGAGTTCTCTTTTTCGAAGCCGTAGACGCTCGTACAGAACTTTGTCTCGTGGTTTCCTCGCAGAAGAAACACTCGGTGAGGTAGCAATACCTGAAGAAAAGAAGAAAAATACCAACTTTCACTACCACCAGAAAGAAGTAAAAAAAAAAAACCGATATCATACCTTCCAAGCAAGGAGGAGAAAGTAAGTCTCGAATCCCCACGCTCCTCGATCCACATAGTCCCCGTTAAACACAAACATTCGTCGGGGAGGCCGGCCAGATCGAAGAGATGGAGCAAATCATGGAGCTGGCCGTGCAAATCGGCTCCAGGCGCAAGCAATTGGGCTCCTTGTGCATGATCTTGGAAGCCCTGGCGATGAGCGAATCGGCGACCGCGACTGGCACTACCTGGCGCAGTGCTTGCGGCCTCAGCATGGAGGCCGCCTCCGCCAGGGTCTCGCCCACGCCGATTACCCATTCTCGCGTCAATCCCCATCCTCTGGCCATTCCACTACCTTGCTCACCGCCTCCTCCTCTGCCGCCATCGCTACTCCTTGCGCCTATCCGAGCTGGATTCCGGGATTGGCGCCTTCTTGTTGCCGCTCTTCTTCGACGGTGCTCATCAACGCCTATGCCATCGCCAGAGACTCTTCCGCCTGGGGTGACGATGCGCTGCTCTTCCGGCCCGAGAGATTCCTTGGCACGGATCTGGACATCCGGGGCAGGGACTTCGAGGCAGTGCCGTTTGGATCGGGGCGGCGACAATGCCCGGGAATGGCACTGGCACTCACCACTGTCCATCTCACGCTCGCCAACCTCCTCCATGGATTCGAGTGGAGAACCCAGCGGTGAGAGTATCAACACGAGCAACGAGCAATATGGATTGACGTTGCTCATGGCAAACAAGCTGCGATTGATCTCCACCCCTCGCCTGGAACAAAGTACCTTTTAACGATCCAAGCTATAAAAATAGAACATGCTCCACAGATCTGATGATGCTTACGAAAGCTTTGTAGGCACTGAAGAAGAACAAGGGGGATTCCATCCAAATCCAACAGTCGCTGGATGTGTTGGCGTATGGTTCCTGGGAGGGGATATCCAAGCCTGAGATTAGAAAGGTGGTAGGAAATAGATTGCAGAAGGGAAGCGTGCTGGAGCGGCGGCTGAACAGGCAAGCTATGGAAGTGAAGCCTCTCCCAGAGCTACGCCCTCCCAAGGCTTTCTTCCCCCAAGCTGAGATGATAGAGTTTACGATGGCGTTAGAGGCATGGCAATGCACACCAGAAGCTGAGTTATCTCTACACCAGCATTTCAGACTACGGCCAGTTGCAAGCCACAACACAAGCAGAGATGAGGATGCGCCAGCATTGGAGAAGCTTGGTATCTGAGAGCAAGTGGAGATCAGTTTTAGAGTTTGGCACCTGGTTTATGACTGTCTCGCTGCAGGGCTTCAAGAACATTGCCTTTGAACTGGCTAGTGATGCTTTCAAGGAGCTGCACGATGCGTGTGCACGAGGCCAGGTACCGCTAGACTGCCTTCTGCTTCTTGGAGATGTTTCTCAAGCATATGGTGGGGGGAAGCTTGGTGCAAGAATGTGGTGCACGGATCAAATTCATTGGGGCTTGTGCGTTTCTGCTTCACAGGGTCGAGCTCAGGAATGTGGACACTGCTGGAAGCTGTTGTTGGAGAGCACCACAACTCTTCTAAGCGAAGATGAAGATAAGCTTTTGGACTTCTTGTCATCGGAGTGCAACCTGTCCAATCCCTTGCTCCAATCTATGCGGGCTGCAAGGAAGAACAAGAGTGCCGACCCCCTTATTAGCTATGCACGTTGCAAGCAATAACGTAGATGTTGTCAAGCCGCTGATAAGCTGAACATTAACAAGAGCTTCAATCACACTTGGAAATCAAATTAGATCCAACAATCTACTCTTGGTCTATTCTTTTCCAAGTCTTCAACAATTTCTTCAGAATATTTAATACTTACAAATTATCTTTATATTTGTTATAAAAATATCCATGCCATGCAAAAATCGCATTCGCAAGGAGGCTCCTGATGAGGCCGGCAGTGTCCGTTTGGAGAGATAGTGCAAAGTTCGTGGTTTCTTTCTTATTCATGGTTTGTCAAGGAAGCTATTCTTCCAAGCTTTCTTTGGATCGGAGCTATAAGGTACCTTGTTCTAGCCGTGGGGTGGCGATCAGTCGCAGCTTCTTTGCCAAGAGCAGCGCCAATCCATACTGCTCCTTGCTCGTGTCGATGCTCTCACCGCTGGGCTCTCTCCACTCGAATCCATGGAGGAGGTTGGCGAGCGTGAGATGGACAGTGGTGAGCGCCAGTGCCATTCCTGGGCATTGTCGCCGCCCCGATCCAAACGGCACCGCCTCGAAGTCCCTGCCCCGGATGTCCAGATCTGTGCCAAGGAATCTCTCGGGCCGGAAGAGCAGCGCGTCGTCACCCCAGGCGGTAGAGTCTCTGGCGATGGTGTAGGCGTTGATGAGCACCGTCGTGCCGCGCGGAACATGGTACCCCATTACATTGCTAACCGCCTCGGTGGATTGGTGGGGGACCAGCAGCGGTACCGCAGGATGCAGCCGGAGTGTCTCCTTGACGATGGCTTGGAGATAAGTTAGCTGTGAAAGATCAGGCTCTTCCACCATCTTCGTCCTCCACTTCTCGCCGAGAACTAGCTCGATTTCTTCTCGGGCTTTGGCGGCAATGGTGGGGTTTTTTATCGACTCAGCCATTGCCCACTCGAGTGTCACTGCTGAGGTGTCGGTTCCAGCTGTGACCAAGTTCTGCCAAGAAAAAGATCTCGAGTGATGAGACTGATTGACCGAATTGATAAACTTTTCTTCTTACCGTCATGACACTTATGATGTTTTTGTTTTGTAGATGCTCATCACCATTGTCTCTCAGAGAGAGAAGGATGTCCAAGAAATCTTTGTCAGTGTTATTTTTCTCACTGTTATTTCTCCTATTCTCGTGCTCGGTGATATTGTCACTAAGGAATTTGTGCAAGGATTTAGCTAGGAAATGCATACGACGTTCTGCTGGATCCAGGAATTTGGGGAACCATGGGAAATAATCCCCAATTGGAAACTCTCCACATACCTCAAACGTACCTGCAATTACCTCTAAGAACTTCCTTGCCCCTTCATCATTCTCTGCATCTTTGCCAAAGTAGCGCTTGCCCATGAGCATGAAAGTGATGAGATTGAAGGTGAGTGCAGTCAGTCGCCCACGAACATCCACGATCCCTGTCTCGCAATCGTCCGCCACTAGTAGCGATCGGCACATGGATTTTACCTCTTCCATTCTCGCGCCCCGAAACATGTCAATCCGGCGAGCTGTGAGGAGCTCCAGCGTCGCGATCTTGCGCAAGTGCCGCCACGAGTCGCCATAGGGGGCGAAAACGATGTCGGCGTTGTAGTGGACGATGATCCTCCCGGCGGCGCTCGGCGGGCGAGACGCAAAGGCGGCGTCGTGGGTCTTGAGGAACTCCTTGGCGGCTGCTGGGCTGGAGGCGACAACCACTGGAACATGCCCGAATCGCAGTGACATGATCGGTCCATGGCGAGCCGACAGCCTCTGGAGCACGGTGTGCGGAGGATTGGCAAAGAGCAAGTGGAGATGGCCGATCAGTGGAAGCCCAATGGGACCTGGAGGAAGAAGAGATGATTTAATTCTACTCCTCCATAGCTTCCATAGCACAGCAGTGATCGATAGTGCTGCCGCCACAACCAAAACAAAATCACTCGCCATTTTCTCCTTGTCGCAGCTCTCTTGCAGCTCTCACTCGGAAATATATTGTCAATAATTTTCTTGACTCCTACGAGCATAAAAGTCCAACGCCCACGAGGACCTTAATGGTGGCGATCGTGGCATTTTTCTAGATTTGTTTTATCCGTCTTTTGGCAGATCTAGCTCGTCGTCTGAATCCATAACATTAACATGATCGTAATACGGCATAACCTGCGGAAAAGCAACCAAAGCGGTGGATGGAAGTATCAAAACGAAATTGCTTACATGTGGCCGCGGGAGGACCGCCTCAAAAACACGAATGTCGGGCTCGCAAAAATCCGGTGGTTCCAAAACAATGTAGGCTGCTTTGTTGTTAAACCGAGTTTCGGTCGCCTGCCATTGTTGACAATCGAAACTTCGTTGCATTTACGGAGAAAGAAAACACGAAATGAAGAAGGCCAACCTGAAACTGGGGATAGTCGGGAGCACTGAACAGAGTGATGAGCTTTCCAGCCTTGACAACGTGGTCGATCGTGTAGCCTTTGTCCATGCTCGCCATCTCGGGACGCTTCTGTCTCGCATCCGGCCCCTCGTGAGATCTCACTATAAGCTGCACTGCCGAACAATGCCAATGATCGTGAGCAAACGACGCAAAACACCACCTTACCTTTAGCTTGTGCTTGTCCATAAACTCTTGAGTACAATCCGGTCCAAAAACAAGCCCGATCCCTCGACCTTCGTTGCTCGCAAGCCCCGGGTTTGGAGATGGATCGGACCACAAGATATCACCCGGTATCACGTTGTTTCCCACGGCCGACGGATCCAGCACGCCTCTTCTCGACTTTGCAAGGTCGTCCAGATCACCCAGCTTGAGCTTAGCAGCAGCTCTCACCAAGAAAGATCGCGTAGAAGGCCCCAGTTCCAAGCTCCGGAACAAGCCACCGTGTGCCATGAAAACTTTGCCGGCTATCACCGCCGCCAGAGGATGGCCCTCGAAACATCCCAAGAGCTTGCGGTAGACATGCTTAGAATGCTCCCCAAACTTGACGGAGATCTCTTTCTCGAAGCCGTAGACGCTCGTACAGAACTTTGTCTCGTGGTTTCCTCGCAGAAGAAACACTCGGTGAGGTAGCAATACCTGAAGAAAAAAAGTAAGAACAATACCACCTTTCACTACCACCAGAGAGAAGTAAAAAAGAAAACGTGATTCTGAGATCATACCTTCCAAGCAAGGAGGAGAAAGTAAGTCTCGAATCCCCACGCTCCTCGATCCACATAGTCCCCGTTAAACACAAACATTCGTTCCTCGTCGGGGAGGCCGGCCAGATCAAAGAGATGGAGCAAATCATGGAGCTGGCCGTGCAAATCGCCCACCAGGACGATGCTACTGGAGCTCGACCGTGGCGGCTCCAGGCGCAAGCAATTGGGCTCCTTGTGCATGATCTTGGAAGCCCTGGCGATGAGCGAATCGGCGACCCCAACTGGCACTACCTGGCGCAGTGCTTGCGGCCTCAGCATGGAGGCCGCCTCCGCCAGGGTCTCGCCCACGCCGATTACCCATTCTCGCGTCAATCCTCCATCCTCTGGCCATTCCACTACCTTTCTCACCGCCTCCTCCTCCTCCTCTCCCGCCATCGCCACTCCTTGCGCCTGATCCGAGCTGGATTCCGGGATTGGCGCCTTCTTGTTGCCCCTCTTCTTCTTCTTCTTCATCATAAACCCTAATTTATATGTTAATTATGTTTAAATCTCTTTTTCTAGTTAACGGTTTATCAAGATACTAGTCAGTTAGCAAGGGTAAATTTAGTGTTAAAACCGATGCCAACCATTATGCTACCATCTTTTCTTGCTGGATAACAAAGGAAAAGTTATTGGTGAGATTTTTTTTCTTCCACAAAAAAGATCTATAATATAGTTAAAAGAGGAAAGATTTTGCTTGCAACTGATTGGAAACACTAGGTCGTGTTGTCCAGGCATTAAAAACACCATGGTGAAAGTTATCTTCTAATACAATACATGAGAGCTTGGAATCTTGCTAAGTGACAAAATTTTGTAGATTTCTTGTGGATTGCCTTGCCAGAAATGAGAGCTGAGAGGTTCGAGCAGGTGAAAGTACATTGAGTCACAGTATTCCTAGCAGAAAGCCATCAGGAGTTCAAGCTAATTATCATATGCCCAAGTCAGATATATGATAAAAGGATGGCAGACAAATCCCCTTAGAGCTTGGTCATGGAGAGCCGGAAGTTCTGGGGCTGGAAAACCTCCTTGGACTGCCACAAGTTATCTGTGGAGCAGCTTGATGCCTGGCCTTCATGATGACTAAAGCTTGAGGATGATGCTCTTGAGATCTTGGCAATTGCCATCATCTGTGGATCCTGAAGACCCTTTCCAAGACATGGAGCTGGCACAGGAAGGATGGATTGTTGAGCTCTTGATCATGCACTGTCAAGCCTAACTTGTTGCAATCCACAAGTTGACACAATGCTTGCAATACTTGGCCCTTGGCATCAACAATCTTATGGTTCTTGGACTGCTACTAGTCCTCCTCCCAGCTTGAGGCCGGTTTGATCACTTGTGCATGATGCCCTTGAGCTTGCCCACTGCAAGCCCAAGTCATTCCGCCATCCATGACCCATATGTCATAGATGTTCAGGCATCAAAAGATTATCCAATAAACATTTGGCATGTGGACATAAAATTTAAGTGTGCAAAGTTATATTTTTTACAAATTGCATGCCATATTTGCAAAGTCTCACAATACCCCATAAGAAACATGAGACGGATGGATTCAAATATGCTACAATGACAAGTGCTATAGTTATTTGTCCTCCAATCCCATTAGCATCTATATTATATAGGACATCTTAATAATTTTAATTTCAATTTTCACTCTTTACAAGATGGGAAAATACTAGTCTGTCTCCCCTAATTCAAGCATGAAGAGGCGGCCAGCCAGGAGAAATCCTTAACATTGACCTCCAAGTTGTACATTTCCATGTTTATGAATTCTCACCTAACGGCCAATATAAAGACTGTAAATTGAATTGTCTTAAAATGTGTGGTTGACTTAGTTAAACCCATATTAATTAGTTTACCTTTAACACGCGTTTAAGTCCTAACATGTGATATTGCTCAATTTCATAAATGAATATTTTAATTGAACTTTGGATAAATATATAGAGTTCTACTTTGCAAAAATTCCTCCACTAGATCTTGTATGTTCGCTAAATTCTCCTTCGGTTCCTATGTTGTTTCGCAGAGTGGAAATTCTTTCCACTTTACATAAAACTCCCTCACCTTATGTTCTTATCACTTGCTTTTGCATGCATTGAGGATGGCCTTGACCTTGTATTATTTTTCCCCTTGGCAAAATCCTAAGATTATGGATTTACTCAAGAGAAAGTATCACTAGCCAAACATGGTTAAAGACATTTAAGATTATGTAAAGACATGTCTAATATCTCAATAAGTCAAAGCCATAACTAAGGCTAGTGGGGGTTTATTATAAAGTCTTATAATTCCAAATTGTCCTCAGAAATGTCTTATGATGGACTTCATTACGGGACTCCTCCTAAGTAAGGGGTTTGATGTGATATTTGTGGTGTGGATTGATTTTCTAAGATAATACATTTCATACCCACCATAATGGAAGTGGATGCGAAAGGTGTGGTTAAACTATTCTTCAAACAAGTGGTTTGAGTGTGGGGAAGGCCAAAAGAAATTATCTCAGATTGAGATAAGATTTTCACCAATAAGTTCTAGAGAACTCTCATGGAGTAGTATTGCACCAAGTTAAAATTTAGCATAGTTTATCACCCATAAAAAGGTATTAGGTATTAAATCAAGTATGATAGTAATAACACTTCTTGACATATAAACAAATGGAAAAGGTGAATAGGCAGTTGGAAGATTATTTGCGATGTTATATCTCCAGAAACCAGACTGATTGAATAAGTCATTTGGGACTTGTAGAAATATACCATAACAATTCACCACATTCGAGTATTGGGGCAAGTCCTTGGGAAATCATCAATGGGCGAGCTATTGAAGTGTAAGGAACCAACTCGCCGAGGTGTCGTAGGCTAAAGAAACCCCAAAAGCATGACCAAAATGACAAAGAGTTCATCGGATGGGACCAAGTCGAAGATCGACTCCAAGACCGACTCTAGGACCGAGTTCGAGATAGAGTCTGGAATCGAGTCCGAGACCGACTCGGGGACTGAGTTTGAGTCCGAGTTCGAGACAGAGTTTGAGATCTGAAATCGGGTCCGAGACCGAGTCCGAGGTCGAGTCCGAGGTCGAGTCCGAGATCGGGTCCGAGATCGAGTTCGAGATCGAGTCCAAGACTGAATCCGAAGTCGGATCCAAAATCGGGTCCGAGATCGAGCCAGAGACTAAGTCCAAATACTAATACGGGTCAAGGGGTGAAAGCCCAAAGCGTGCGTCTCCCAGGGGGGGGGGGGGGCTGCAGGGGGTTCCAAAAGTATAGTAGGGATAGTGAGGTCCAGGAACCAGTCTTGAAGGAACTCTTCAGTGGTGCTTCCAAACTGACTTGAGGTTGAGACTGGGGCCAAGGGGCCTTGGGTGGGAGTGAGCATGGGCTTGAGTGGTGCTAGAGGGGCCACCCAGGGAAGTGCTCAAGAGCAGCTCCCACTCCCGAAAGGGAAACCGACTGCGGTGCTCCCGACTCATGTGGAGTGGTGCCCCACTTGAATACCTTGTGGCTCATTGGTCCTCGCCCTTCCTAGGGGCTTAGGCCTTCCCTTCGGGATGGAAGTGGGGCATACCGGGCCGTTAGGCCACGGTGTTTCGCCCCGACGTCCCGAAGCAAGTGTTGCACCCAAGACTTGGGATTTAGAGGGTCCCATGATCAAGTCTTGTGGTACCAAGGGGTGTTAGGAACCTAGAGGCTTGGTGTGCTTGGCTGCTTGTGCCTGCGGGGAGTGTAGCCGAACCTTAAGCCCAGTCTAACCCGGGGAGGGGGATTGGGAGAGATTTGGGAATCCGTAGATGGATGGTTAACACTCCATTGCTCGTGCAGTGAGTAGCTGAAACCAAGTAGAATTAAGTAGGAGCTGGTACCATAGGCGAGAACCTTGGCGAGGGAACTTAGCACGAGCCAAGGCAGAGTTGGTCGGATAGACAAGGTAAGCTAGCAAATTGGAAAGGAAAAATTTGTGGCTTACAATTTGGTATCGGAACCTCTTTCTCAGTTCTAGCGAAGGATAGAGGCGGATTGCTAGGGGATGGCAAGGGCAGGACGTAAGCAAACTCAGGCGGAGACGGAACCTCCTCTAGAGCTGGAGCCTCCGGTCGAACAGGAGGCTATGGATGAGGAATCCTTGCACGAGGAGGACTCCAGTGAGGCAACTTCCAAACATGAGTCTGGTGGTGAGGTTCGGTCGTCCAATGCTCGATTGAACGTTCTAGAAGGATAATTGGCACAAACCAATGCCCTGCTAGAGACTCTCGTACGCAAGTTAAAGCGTGACGAGAAGCGGAAGAAAAAGTGAAAGACTGCAGATGCTAGCAGCGCAGAGGGTGCGGACCCTTCGGTAGGGACTGAGGCAGAACCAAACAAAGTCGAACAAACCGAAGTGGAATCAGTCCCTCAGGTAGTTCCCAAGTATAAACCAAAGCCCCCACCGGTCTTCAAGGGAGTGAATGACTATAAGGTGGTGGAGGATTGGTTTTATGATATGGAGGACTACTTCCGAGCGTTGCGGTTACCAAGCTCGGAGAAAGTCCCATGTGCAAAACCATACTTGGCAGATAATGCCAAGTCCTGGTGGAGAACGACAGAGGCCAACGAAGGACCGATGGCCACTTGGGAAATGATGAAGGCGAGGATCCGCGCGACTTACGTTCCTCCGAATGCTACTCTGCATCTAAGAGACAAGTTGAGTAGGCTGAAGCAGACCAGAACCATTCAGGAGTATGAGAATGGGTTTATGGCAAAGAGGATACTTGTCACGGACATGGGGGATATGGATGTGTTCCATGCCTTCATATTAGGTTTGCAAACCTAGGCTCGCGGTGAAGTGATGTGGTGGAACCCGACCAACTACAAGGAAGCGTTGGATGCGGCCATCAAGGTGCATTTCAATGATAACCTGCGAAAGGGGAACACGACGGGGTCGGGATCCACGTTTAGGAAAGGGGCCAAACCAAGGGGAACGTTTAGCAGAGGGAAATTCAAGAAGAGCTTCTCTAAGAATATGAGCCCTCGGGGTTCCGGAAAGGCAAATCCGGTGGCCAGCGAGCGAGTACATGGGGGAGTCAAGCGAAAAAAGACAAACCCACGGATAAGAAGGTCAAGTCGTATAGCAGCGTGGGAAACAATGTATGCTACAACTGCGGTGAAGCGGGACACTTTTCGAGGGAATGTCCCTACCCGAAGAAGGCCAGAGCCAATATGGCCATCAAATCGGGTGAAGTCCAAACTGAGGTATGTGATCCAGTCCCTAACTCAAAGTTACTCATTACACGAGCAACTTTGGTAGAGAGTCATTCGCGACATCTACTAGCTGTAAGCGACTAATTTTTCCATTCTACTTTAGTCACTTAACCACACCTTCGACCACTTGGAGGGGTCTCACTCACCACCTCCTTAAGTCCAATTCAGGACTTGGGACTTGCTAGCCCTGAGAATGGCATCCATGCCACTCATCCCTTGCACTTAGTCCAAGTGCTCCACGTGTCCGGT